AAGTTTCGGCCAAAATTTGGAATTTCCGAATTTTGGCTGAATTTTATTGATAGCCGAATTTAGGCCAAATTTTTTTGGCAATTAGCCGAAAGTTTGAGATTGCCGAAAGACCTCATTTTGACTAGTGTTGAAACACTTTTGTATGCATTCTTTTTTTTTTTGTAGATTTAATTTGAAATATATCTTTATGATTAAATTATGAAAAAATTTCTCTATTTTAAGATCTTGATTTTAGTAAAAAAAAAACTGGGTTGTCCTTAAAGTTTTATTTTTGTTAGAAATTATCAATATTTCACTAGACATTTAATGAGAGATATGTATAAAATACTATGAAATCTTCAATTACTCCTTTCATCATCAAGTCAAGTTTGGAAGGTAATTTTTGTTTCAATCGAAATCTTTAATTCCTCTAAGATCGCTTGTTCAACTTCAATAATCAAATTCTCTTTAACCTATAAAGTGCCAAAAAATTTAAATAGTTATATACGACAAGTGATTTATTGTTATTTCTAATATAATTACAATTTAAAATTTATTAAAATTAATAATTATTGATTTATGTAAAATTTCTTTTAAAATCTATTTGTAGTTATACAAGTTTGCATATAAATATAAATTATATCTAAAAATATACACCTAAATATAAATAACAATTTTAATTTACACACAAATGAATTTGTGAATGTCATGATTTTGATCTTGCTTTTTCAGGCCTAATCAAAAGATCAGATGAATTTTCGTTTTCATTAAATTCTCTAAATTCTTCATTTATCCGATTATCATCATTTTCATTATCATTATCATTATCATTATCATTATCATTATCAACATTTTCATTATTTTCAATATTTTCATCATCTTCATATATACTCAAAATATTTGTATTATGACTATTATGACTTTTCCTATTTCTTTTATTTTTGGTCATAACATATTCTATAGGCAAATCATTTTGTTGTTGATTACGTATTTCGATGGTGGTAATTGATGTAGCTAATGATGTTTTTCGAGTAGTTTGTCGATATCGAGGATCTAATGTTATTACTGATATTCCAGGTGGATAACATTGACTATATTGTTGCTGTGGATAATAATAATTTGAAGTTGATATATATTTGTTGGAATTGTCAAAAATAACTCGGGTGGGAGAAGATATTGATGTGTTTGTAGTGATGGTATCGGAAATGGTGGGACTTATTCGATTGTGAGTTGGTGAAGGGATTGAGAAATCATTAGGACGTTTTTTAGGTTCTTTATTTTTGCTATAAGAATGAATGAATGAATTAATTAATTAATTAATTAATTAATAAATGAATAAATTTATTAAAACTATTATAAATTATTTAAAAGATATTATTATTAAATACAGGGATACATTACCTACAAAAAATAAACCCAAATATCTTTGTCCATAATTTACGGTATTGTTCATTCGCGAATTCACCCGTTCCAAAACATAACAAAAACAATCCCATATTCAAACACATATGTATCGTACTTCCATTTTTTGCTAAGAAAGGTTCTACTGCTGGCCAATGAGTATCTTGATATTGTGTATTATCATCTATTATATATTTTAAATGATAAAACAATATCACGGTAGCTACAGGAATATTTGATAAAACTAATAAACAACTCCAAAGTCCCATTCGTAATAATACATTACGAGGAAGTAATTTTGTATTGGAAGTTGGATTTGGTGGTGGACCAGCACGTGTAGGAAGAGTAGGAGGAGGAGATTTTGTTTTTCTGACTGATAATTGTATTGAAATGCTTTCTCTTAATTGAGCTGATGTAAATACTTTTTTTGCTACGGGGATTATTGCAAGGACTAAATTATTTAACATAGAATTAAAGTTAAAGTTATAATTAAAGTATAAATTAAATTATGAATTACAATTAAAAAAGTTATAAATTATAATTAAAGTTAAAGTATAAATAATAATTAAAGTTATTTAATTATAATGTGATGTAATTAATTTAAATATGATAATTTACCTGATAAAACGCCAGAAGGATAAATAGGTAAATATTCCGGTAAAACTCTTAAGCAAAGTAAAGCAATTCCTTCTGATCCATGTGTAGAAACTTGACAAATCCCTCCAGCATCAGCAGTTTCGAAAATTCGATCATGACTTATTATTAATATTATAACACTTAATAAAATTGCAATCACTGGTATACAAAAAATTAATGAACAATTTAATCTTTTTATCCAAATATTTTGTCTAACTGCTAGGTTCGTTAATCTTAAAGAAACATATAATTCAATTGAAAGTGCTAAAGCTACACCAGCATTTGAAATTGAAGTTAAAGAGTATAATAAGCCACTTAATCCACACCAAATATGTTGAGATGTGGAAGCATTATTTACTTTAAAATCATTAGGTAAAGTAAATCCAGCTATCACATATGAGAGAGCTATTAGTGAATTGGAAATGCTATACCAGATTAAAAGTGATCCAGGTCTTTTTAGTTGAACGTAGATATTTTGAAAACATAGAATACAAATTATAATACACGCTAATAGTAACAACGGTTCCATTTAATTTCTGTTATCAGATTGATTAATTTTTGTTGTGGATTGGGTTTTTGATTGTTATGAATGGTGTGGTATTTTATCTTTTTTTGTTATTTATTTAAATATCAAGAATTAAATCGTTAATAAATAATTAGAATTATTAAGTATCCATTAAAAAAAATCATTTAATAATTAATAGGATTAATAGGTTTTAATAGGGTTAATAGGGAGGATTAAAAGGAAATTATTAATTGATCATATATACACATTAAGATAACGAAAGAAAGAAAGAATGTCAGTTAATAGTAATTCTTCATAAAATATAATTATCCAAAGAAAAATAAATTTCGATGAATTTGTAGTAAATTAAAATTGAATAAATCGAGTAAAATTGAATAAGTAGATTAGAATTGTACAAATAATATTAAATAAAATTAAATTAAATTAAAAGAAAAAACAATTAAGATAAAATGTTGATAAAACGTCGATAACTAATCATGATTAGGAAGAGAAAAAATTTCAGTGATAGTGGAAATTAACGAAAATGAAAAAGAGATCAATGATATCTTCCACGCGTGTAATCTTGATTTTAACTTTTAACAGTTAATATTTATCTAAGATAACGGAAAATATGCCAATATAAACAAATATTATTAGAGAATTTTTTTTGAAACAATTTTTGCATGTAATAAAAAAAATTAATTAAATATATAAACAACGTAACGAATTTCATAAATACGGCTGTTGCACGATATAAATAAAATTGATAAAATATAATGTTTGACAAGATCACCTTGTGTTTTTCCTTTTTCATCAATTTGCAAAAATTACGTTAGTAAACATGTCAGTAAAACATGCAGTAATTATTAGTAATTATTGTTTTTTAAATTTTTAAATTATAGAGAATTGGAAATTATTTCTTAAAGAATTTCTAATACATAGAATGTCAAGCGAATTGCGTAGGAACAAAAGAGAGGATCGCAAAGAAGGGTCCTTCTATTTATTTTTAGAAATCCATTATTTATATCAAATAAATAAAATACATTTCGCTAAACCCGAAAAGAAAGATAACGTATATAATATTCTTTGAGATCTTTCTATTGGTGGTGACATTTTTTTTAGGTTGATAAGATAAGGGATATCAAGTGACACTACATGTGATACTTTGTATATATGTATAAGTGACAATTTCTTATATATATAGAAATAGCAAGTATTTTTATTCCTTAATAAAAAACTCAATGAATATCAGGAACATAAAAAAAGCAATTTTATAATAAACTTCTAGCGTCATACTAACTAAAAGATAAGATAACGAACGGGTATAGATCCGAACGAACATTTTAGCTATTTACATATTGAGCATACATGGCATCCTCGCTTTCTTTTTTTGGATAAAATTGCCCCTTTCCCAAATTTGAGTCTCATGTAAGACGCCCGATCAGGTTGCGTTGGATACAATAATTTTATTGGTTAAAATTGTTTGTTTTCTTTTAATATTTTAATATCGTGACTGATAATCCTATAAAGCTTATAATTATCAAAATTTAAAATCTGTTGTCTTACATCATTATTATAAAAATGGGAATTAAAAATTTTTTTGACAGGTTATCTAAACACTTTTTAATAAATGACAAAGGTTATAATGTAATAATTGAAGTTATCTTTCACTGTTCGTTCAGCAGTATTACGATATCGTTTGACAATCCAAAATAAAAGTATTAACAGTTAACTCTGTATATACAATTAACTATCAATAAAATCATTGACGCAACATTGACTATACATTTTTTCTCAACCTTATCCATTATTAAATGTGAATCCAATTAAAGTTAAATTATGTATGTGACTTTTTTTTATGTAATGTAATAAAAACGATGCAACAAGAATTTCTATTATATTATATAATAAGGAATATTCTATGCTATAACTAGAATTATCATAATATAAATTTTAACTTTGACCGTTTACAGAATATTATTAAATAATAATGAATAAATAAATATGAATTAATAATATTATTAAATTTTGATCTAGAAATTATTTTGGGCGATTAAATATAATTTGATGACGAATTTATTAAGATACCTAGAAACCTGGTAACTATCTACTATCTACATGGACTTCAGTATTATCGCTTGTAATAAAAGTTGGAACAGGCATAGTTTACTAATTGTTGTACAAGACCAAATGCTTAAATTTACTAATAAAGTTATTAAATGCTATAAATGCTATAAAATGTTATAAATGCCATAAATGTCTAGTGAGTTTTTAATTACATTTTTTGAAAAAGAAATAGTTTAGAAGATCCAGAGTTAATTATAAAAGACATTTTCTTAGAGGATCCAGGCTTAATTATAAAAGACATTTTCTTTTTGAAAAATACATTATGTTTTTTAACCTTATTCATTTAAAGAATGGAACTTTTCCAAACTGGCTTAAAATAATTAAAAAAAAATTTCGATACTTACTAAAATTCTCAATTAAATAGTGAAAATTTACCTTACATGTGACTAATCTATCACATGTATCATAAAACATTTAATTAACCAATGATAAAATTCAAACCATGACATCTCTATTAGTGTAACCGATTACTTAATAAAATACCAGTAAAAGTATCGGTTAAAAAACGGGATCCCCTTTTTTTGCACTTAATGACACTTAATAATGAATGAAGATTATTTGCGTAAACGAACAGTTGGTATTTCTATAGAAGATGATTCTTCAGATTCTTCGGTTGATTTATCTGATGCAACTATACTTGATAGAGGGAAAAAACAATCTCGCCTTTCACGTATATTAACTTCACTTAGATGGATTGTTGTATCGGGGGTAATATATTGGTTCTTTGAAGTATCTTCAAACGTACAGCAAGTTTTGTCATTGAAAGGGTGGAATAGGTAATTATAAATATAAATATATATATATATATATTTAACACTGCAAAAGTAACTATTTATATTATTAATTTTTAATATATATTTCGTATAGAAATCTTTTTTATTTTTCAGCCATGTCTTTATCTTTTACCTTTTTAATTTTCATATATTTGCAAGTATTTCTTCCTCTTATAAGGAATACTTCAAAGCCAAATTATAAAGTTTGGAATCAAGATGAAACATTAAAAAAATTTATACCTATTGCAACTTTAACAGGTGTTATTGGTGTATCAGGATTTACAATTAGTTGTTGGTTTATTTGGGGAGTTTTTTCTCCTCTGGTTGTTTTAAGTATGTTAATGGGAATTGTTGGAATTTTGAATATTTTTAGTATTTTTTATATTATTTGATAAATTTTATTAATTTTTAATTAATTAATTAATTAATAAATAATAATAATAATAATAATAAAATGATGATAAAAATTTAATTAATCTACTTTTTACGAGATTATAACAAATGGTTTTGATTTTTTCTTTTATTACCATAATATTTATTTAAATCCCACAATACTTAACGGAAATTTCATTTAAAAAAAAAAAAAAAAAAAAGGGATTCAAATATTCCGTCAGTAAGTTAATTCTATGTTTCAATTGACTTGACTTGTCATTCGCGATGTGTTTACTATACACTTAGCACATGCATTCATAACACACACAACACAAAAGAACAATTTAAACTTTGTCTTTCAAACATTTGATCGTAGTATAATTATCATTTTAAGAATTAAATTAATATTGTTATTTTTTGTTGTATCACAGTTCATATTAATTAATCCTAAAAGAATTATAAAGAGGATTTTAGTGTCGAAATTTTTTTAAATTAAAAATGAAAAAAGGATTTGGCAGTTCATTGTGAAGAATTATTATTATAAAAAAGATTCTATTTTTTTAAATGGTTACAAACTGTACATCTCGGCATGAATAAATTTATCATAATAATGAAAGCTAATCCTAAAAGAAAGTCGTTTATAATTAATATAAATTATTTCAAAAAGGTTTCCAATAAAAATTTACCAGGATATTTTTATTTTATTTTATTTATTTTTTTTTTCTTTGATTAGAACTTCTGGCAAGTCTCAAATAATTAAAATAATTATAATTTAACAATAATTTAAAAAAATTATCATGAAATCCTTATCATTATTATCAATTTTTATTCTCGCCATAGATTTAATAATTCCCGAAAAAATTTCTGCCAATAATTATTGTCATTATTTTTCATATCCTTCTTATCCATCTGGTCATAAAAACATAACAAAAGTTAAATGTGATCCATTAGATAGACTGGATTCATTTGATTCGTCAGTTTCTTTGGAATCATATAATGTATTTACAGTTGACTTTCATTGTGGAATTAATAATACAAATTTATGTCAAAAAGCTCATGACGTATTTAAATCAGCTGGAAATAGAATTGCCTCTATAATAAAATTTAATACACCTTTAAAAGTAAATGCTACTTTTACTAATTTTTGTAAAGAATTTGGTCAATGCTCATATGACGACCAAATTCTTATAGGTAAGTAAACCTTCTAAGATGAGAGAGATTGATCACATGTATTGTATATATAAACTGTGCAAGTTTTTTTTTAATATTTACTCCCTCATTCAATCGGCATAAATTTATATTTCTCGATCAAATTAATAGGGGAAGCATCAGCTGCTCAATTCATACCAATTAAAGATTCAGATGGAGTAATTAGACATTATTCTCAAGCCTTAGTTAAACAATTGGGAAATCCAGATAATGCACAATATAACGATTATGATATTTTGGCATCTTTTAATTCTCAAGCCAATTTGTATTTTAAAGGTGACTCATCAATTGGTGATGAGCAGTATGATTTCGAATACGTTGTCACTCATGAATATATTCATGGTTTGGGATTCTATCCTTATTGGAACGATTATGCAAATTTATTGACACCTTACCCTGAATTTCTTGCTGAAGTTAATAATACAGAACAAGAAATTACTTTTACAGGATTTGTTGAAACAGCTTTTGATAGACACATGGTATTAACTGAACCTGGTGAAGCTTCTCAACGGATGACAAAATTGGTTGATAAATTCAATAGTATTGTGCCAATTGGAACAACTTTAAAAGTTAATGATTTTTTTATTAAATATGAAAATTCTGAAGTATATGGTCTTTCCAAACAATTATTAAAAGACGCTGTTACTCCAAAAACAATGAGCTTTATTACAAGTGATAATACTAGTGTTCTTCTTGAAACAAGAATAAATCCTTATGCCGTAGGATCAAGTATTTGTCATGTAGATAGGTCTTATCAAAATGGATCAGATTTCTTAATGGCATTTTCGGCGATCCCTGGTAAAACTTTGGATGAATTAATCGCCCAAAATCATGGTACTTCTGCTTTGGGACCAAATCTAATTAAAGTTTTAGGGACATTGGGGTGAGTATTTCTTTAATTACTTTCTTTAAATCATTATTCTTTAATTCGTTATTTATTAATTCAATTATTATTATTTATTATTTATTATTTATTAATTCAATTATTATTATTTATTATTTATTATTTATTATTTTTTATTATTATTTATTAAATTATTCTATCATTATTTATTATTTATTAAATTCTTCTAACATTATTTAATTATTCTATCGTTATTTATTATGTATAGATATTCTATAAATGGTCAAAGTAATAATCAACCGAATAATTCTAAAGATAATTCAAGTCACAGCATAAAATATTCATTCTTTTATAATACAATAAATGTTCTTGTTGCTATCATTTTATGGCAAATTATTTAAAAATAATAGTTTGTATTTTGCTTACTTATTACATTGCATGCACATGCACATTGTATTCACATTTAAGGGCGAAAAAATAAAAAAAAATGCATGGAGTCAAATGTCGTATCAATTTATTTGTTTATTTCATATGCATAAAATAATACCAATTATAGAAATTTTTAATTAATAGAGATTTCTATTTGGAAAATTAAATTATAATTTTCTCGTTGCTGATTTGCTAAATAAACAAACGGAAATAACGATTCTTTCTTCATTTTTTTTTTCTTACATCGTTTTCATCATTTTCATCATTTTCATCATTTTCATCATTTTCACCATTTCACCATTTCACATTATTTTCACATTCTTTTAATCACAACTCAACATTTATAACAGTAAGACTGACTTACTTTTTTTCTTTATTAATCGAATTTCCAATATTTCACACTCTTTATATTCTTTACATTCTTTAACATATTTTATCATATAATGAAACTTATATCATTAACGAAATTATTCTCTTTATTGATAAACGTCTTTCTTATATTTTCAACATTATTCATTTTTACTACATATTCATCCATTTCACCCACTAATAATAGTTATACACAATGTTACGATTATCCAAATCCTATTGATCGAACTTATAAAGTACCGGTTCAATGCCCAATAACAAAACAATCTTCTATAGATCATTTAACTTCTAATTCAAATTCTACAAATATGTTTGTAGTCACTTTCACTTGTGATGCAAAAAATAAAACATTATGTTCAAAAGTCAAAAATGCTTTTGATATAGCGGGAAAAATAATAACATCAATATTATCATTAAATGCACCAATAAATGTAAATGCTAGTTATTTGGATTTTTGTGCAGTCTTGGGACAATGTGAAGGAAACCCGGGATTAATAACATTAGGTAAATTTTTAATCTTTTAATCTCTAAAATATCAAATTCAACATTTATAAATAATTTTATCTCAAATAATTTAATTATCTCAAAAAATTCAATCACAAAATTTAATCCTATCTCAATCTCAATCTCAAAATTTAATCTTATCTCAATCTCAATCTCAAATAATTCAATTATTTAGGAGGGGCAGCACCAACTCGTACAATACCTCTTCAGGATGATGACGGTCTTGTTAGATTATATCCACAATCATTAGTTAAACAATTTCAATTTAAGCAACATCCACAATTTGGAACATTTGATATCACTGCTTTATTTAATTCAGCAGGAACTGATTTTTGGTTTCAAGGTGATCCTAAAATTAAACCTGAACAACAAGATTTTCTTTATGTAGTTTTACACGAAATGATGCATGGTTTAGGTTTAGCTTCTAATTGGGATGATTATATTAACGATACTCCTGAATCATTGACCCCTGAAATATCTTTATCAATGAGTGATGGCTTAATAAAATTTAATGGATTTTTTGAAGCAGCATTTGATAAATATCTTATACAAATTCCAACAGGAAAAAGAACTTCTTTAATAACTGATCAATTAAATTCATTTGCTAATGGAAAAGGTTCAACATTTTCCAATAGCAATGATTTTATAACACAATTTAAATCATCTTCACAATATAGTTTAGCTGTGGATATGATGAAAAATGCTGTTAACTCTAATTCTTTAGGATTTTTACCAAGAGGTGGAACTAATTTTAGTGATCTTATAATATTAGAAACTTCTTTAAATCCTTATCAACCTGGATCAAGTGTTAGTCATTTAGATCATAAAACTTATAATTCCACTAGCGATTTTCTAATGATATATATAGCTGATCGAGGAATAGATGTGGATACTTTATTAAGTGATAATAAAGCTCAATCTCCCATTGGACCAAAATTAAAGATATTACTTGAAACAATGGGGTAAAGATCTATAATATCTTTTCATATCTTTTCATATCTTTTCATATATTTATTCTTATGTATTTATTCTTATTATATTCGATATCTGACATATTAATTTATTACTATTATTTATTATCATTTAGATATGCAAGTCCCGATAATCCAAATCCATATCGACCAACTGTTACAATTACCCAAAATAAATTTAATCCTAAAGATTTCAATGGCATTGGACCTTTTACACCTGATAATACTTCTACCTCTCAAAATACTTCTATCAATCAAAATTCTGCAGCAATCAGATCATCATCAGAATTAAGAAATCTTTTATTCATAAGCGCCTTTGTTATTTACTTTTTAATAATATAACCACAACAATAATACCGACAATGTGAATAATAATGTAATTATCTTTTAGAAATAGAAATAATAAAATTAATAATAAGAAAACTCATTTTGCTTAACGATGGTATATTTAAACTAATGAAAGTTGGAAAAAATGGTAATAATAATAATCATATATTATTTAAAGAAAACGAAAATCTGTTACAAAGTAACGATATTCCGTTGAAAAGTATTTATTTTAAATTCTATGGCATCGATTGTGTCATTTATTCTGCGATTTTAGAAATATAAAATATAAGTGAAATACAAAAACCAGGGTAGTAAATGGTATATCTAGGGGCTAACATAATTTTTTTTCTCGAGTTATGTGCAATTTTTTCTCACTTGCTGCTATACTATTTGACAATGACCTTTGAGAATCAAGATCAATAGCCAGGAAAATACTCCCACACTTACAATTTATAACTTTTATAACAATATGCTCATTCCCAGTTACCTTTGGAAAAGTGAATAAATTTCGAAGCCAAGATTTCAAAGCTAATAAGATTATTCACCTACGAGTTACTACTTGATTAATTTATCATTTTCATTATTCCACTACTTGAGTTTGTTTGTAAAAACATACCATAAAGTGTTTCACCTGCGACCAAATAAGGCTGATGGAATAGAACGAACGATACTTTCTGATGGTATTACACACAACCATTATTAATTGTAGTAAGACTTGCCGTTTTAGCTCTCAAAATGTAATCAACAATATTATATTAATATAAAATCGCGCTTTAATTCCAACTATAGGTCAGACTTGTGCTTTCTTCAAAGTTTCTTCAAAGTTACGTCAAAACATCACATCGTTTTTATATGACTTAACTAATCATATAATTTATGATCTACGTCTTTTATGATTTTATGACTTAACTTAGTTACGTCGGAGGTCATGACACCCCTCCAAGTCACGGCATAGATGTAGTGTGATATATCTTTTTTATTTTATTAAAAGTTGTAAGATGTGACTGTGTCGTGTGAAAATCACGAGATCTATGGAAGAATACGCGCATAAATTCCATTTTTGACTTCAGCTGCGATTTTCTACTGAGGTATTTCTATTACAGATCGAAAGCCCTAGTTCTTGGCTACAAGATAATATATGTTTTATTTCTGTAGCATCTATACGAGTAGATATTCGCGTTTAAAGTCGACCGACCGTGAAAATTTTCTGCTGGAATTTTTCGTAATTTTGGTTGAAATTTTTGTGACGTTATAAAAATTTCCGAAAAATTCTAGAAAATTTATGACACGGACGTTCGAATTTAAACGCAAATATCTCCACGAATATCGAGGCTACAGGAATTAATCACATATCATATTGTAGAAAAGAATCAGAAATTTTGATCCATCATAGAAATCGCTTCCTGTCGCGTAAATCGCGGCCGAAGTCACGACCATAGTTACGACATATTACTTTGGTCGCGTCTTACTACATTGTGACAAATTCAACGTGATAATTAAAATGAAGACGTGATTCAGATCTTAGCATAAGTCTACACCCCTAGTCAAGTCTGCAACTAAAATAATTCATTAATCTTAATTAGTAATTCTAATAATACTATAAGTTCTATCTATAGTTAATTAGAAAAGGATAAAAATGCAGTTGAAGCTGAAAAATTATACTGCTGTTTCATAAAAGATAAGAATTGCACCTTTACACATTGCATTGGCGATAACTTTGAAGTATCTATATGCTTTGATATTACTACATGATCATAGGGTTCCGCAAAAATATTGATCATACTGTTACAGATCTTAAGTTTCAATTCACAGATCGGATCGAATCCAAAAAAATAAGATTCAAAAAGAATCCATTGATCCAACGATCCAAGAGGAGGGAAGGAAATATAAAATTTTATTATGGATTCGAATATTTTTTATGGATTCTCGGATCAATCCGAATATAATAAAAATTGGATTCGGTCAGATCCGTGTAAATATCGGATCAGTTCCGAATATAGATACGAAACTCTAACATGATCTTGCCACACAACCTAACGGAACTATTGCTTATATGATGTGTGGTGATTTGTTACAAAATACATATGGACAAATTGAACTGAATTACATGCATTGGGAGTATTATCAGTGTCTACAAACTCAAAACACTATATACACTCCAAATAATACTTTTCGGGAATAATAGCTATCATTTTTGCGGTTTTCTTTATCATAAATACAAAGAAGCAAGTACCTCTGAAAAATAATTATTATTAATTAAAATAAGTTTTTATTTTATCATTTATCATTTATAATATTTTTATTTCCAAAAGATAAATTTAAATTTTAAATAGAAAACATTGATAAATTAAATATTTCTCGTTTTAATTGCTCTGAAATAATTCATTATACTTATCCATGAAGTTATTAGTAATTCTAATAATACAAGTTTATACTAAAAATAAAATAATATTACCACTAAACTATCAGCTAGTAAAGTATAGTAGCTTTGGGAATAAAAGCTATGATTTTTGTAGTTTCATTTATTTACTATTTTCAAAAAATACCAAGATACAGAAAGAACAAAGAAGAGACCAAATGATTAAATTCTTTAGTATCACGTGTTCTATATTCTCAGATATATTTCAAATATAAATTTTGTAAATTTAGTGAAGTGGGTTTATAATTCAATCATTTAAATTTATTACTTTAAGTAATTTACTAATGAAATATTCATAAAGATCGATCTCCCTGGACCAGAATTAAAGATATGAGTAAATTTCATGTTCATTTATTCTTATTTATGTGAAAATTATTTCATCGAAAATAATTTTAATCCTTGAGTTGATAATGGCACCAAACCTTAACACACCTGGTACTACTGCCATCTTTAGTGTATTTGTTATTTTTCGTTTATAGTATGGGAAATATAAATATATTTTAAATAATGAAAATAACAAACTCATTTCAATAAAAAATTATTTTTTGTAGTGTATCCGCATCAATAGAAGTTGTTTTTTGTTGAGGAAAATGGTATTAATGATAAGCACTGGTATTCTAAAGAATCGAAAATCGGTCGACCCTGCAACATGAAGTATATAAGATGCAATTTATCTTTTAAAAAAGATAATGATATTATAATAATAAAATTATAAGGAAAGGCTCATTTTAATTAATAATAATCATTTCTCACCAGTGGAAGTGCCTGTTGAGAAAATTGTCTAAAAAAGCACTCAGTTTTAAAAGTAAGATAACTTATAAAGAGATATTAACTTCCTTTGAAAATGGTACTATAAAAACAAAACATTTTATTTGATTTACAATATCTGAAATATTATTTAAAGAAAGCTAGCCCAGAAATCAATTTAAAAGTAATAACCATAACTTTATTTAAAATATAAAGGATCTAATTTTTACAAAAGTCTTTTACGCTACTTTTGAATGACTATATTATGTTAATTTTACTTTCTTCAAATCCTTCTTAAATACATTTTATTTTAACATGGCATCTGTCGTTTGTTTATGAGAAATTAGAAATACAAATAAACCAAATTAATGTCTAGATAGATAGGCGTATCTGGTGGTTAGAGTAATTTCCTTTAAACGTCAGCTACTCTGATATTTTACTTAGAGGTCTAATATTTTCTCAACATATTCGTTATCAAAATAATAATGATTTTTTCTTTACGAATCGGAAAAGTAAAAAGAGTTGGAAGCCAGGAAAAATTATGTGCACCCTTCGAACTGTAATGGCCTTTGGGAATCAAAAGGAATAGCCAGGAAAAACACTCACACACTCACAACTTATAACTTTTATAGTATATGCTCGTTCTCAGTTCCATTTAGAAAAGTGAACCACTTTTGAAGCCAAGACTTCAAAACTAATAAGGTTATTTGCCTACATTGAAAATTTGCATTCTTATACTCATAACTCTTTCCATCTATCACTTGTACCACAGTAGAAAAACTATTTTTTCTATTTTTTCATATACAAACACAAGAATCGCTGTACCGAATATATTATAGAATCGGAATTCCTATATCCGTCCTATTGCATCCTATATTGTAAACCAGAATTCTGCCTATTCTTTTGTGTTTGACCTGTGAAAGTTTAGTTTTTCATCTATATTCTTACTCATATGGGTAAGTAACAATATAAATAAAATACCAGAAGTGAAATAAAAATTTTATTTCCGCAGTTAGCTCAAGAAGAAAAAGAAGTGATGGTGCTGATAGTATCAGGACACATTAGTAAGAAACAACATCTTAGAGAATCAGCCACCAGGCTTAATTATGTTGCAGAACTGAAAGCAATAGAAATTATAAACAGTGAAGAAGAGGATGATGACTTATATTGTAAGGACAAATATGAGACAGTGAGAAAAAAGAAATCCAAAAACAAAGAAAAAGTGAAGCCATTGGTGATGCCAAAAGAAATTCCTTCCAAAGTTTGACATGAAAATATTGGAATAGAACTACTTAAGGGATCTATCAAGGTGGAAAAAATCAAGGGAAAAATTTATATATGAAAATTTTATGATTAAAAATTTCCTTTTTCAAAATTAAATTGAAAAAACCAATAAAGTTAAGAATATAATTATATATCTTTCAGATGTACAAAATGCAAAAAAAAAGTATTACCAAATGAGTATGACAAGTTGTGTAAATGGAAAATTTGATATATGTAAAGAGAAATAATTTACTTATGTACTAAATCACTTTGTTATTTTTAAACTTCACATGACTCAACTGTTACCTGTTTTTATTTTTTCAAAGTTATGAAATAACCATTAACAGTTTAATTGATTTGAATTAAAATGGAATCATCTCAAGTGATACTAGTTATGAAGAATTAAATAATAGGAGGAAACAGGTAGTAAAATTAATTGGTATACTTAAAGGCATAACTGCATTTGATATTAAAGAAATCATTAAAAATATTGAAGGATGTACTATATATTAAAGATATTTGCAATAATTATTTTCATGAGTTGCAATCCATATCTAGTTACAACTATTTGTCACAATGTCACAATGTCACAATGTCACAATGTCACAATTATGCACAATTATATCATTAATATAATTATATATAAGATTGAAAATAATCATTGATAGTTGTTACATATAAAACTTTTTAGTTTATAAGTAAATATCAAAATAGTATTAAGTAATCTTAAAGAAAATAATGAATTACATATTATATAAAAATAAGAGATATGTGTTATCAAAATTGAAAAACAATTAGTAGTTAAAGCTCGAATAGATAAAAAATTTTAAAATGATAATAATTCACTCAATTTTAATTATATAGGTCTGTTCTTTAATATAATATGTAATTAATTTTTGTCTTTGAAGTTACTTAGTATTATTTTTTTTATTTACTTATCATATAAAATGTTTTATATGTAATAACATCAACAATTTTGTATATTTACCTAATTGTATAAAAATTAATAATATTATGAAAAATCATGTAATGAACAGAAGATTACAAACAAAAATTTTATTTTTTTTTTAATTTGATTACGATTTACATGATAGGGAGGTGATTTTATATTAAGATATTTTATAATAGATAAAAAGCCCTTGTTCTTAGCTACAAGTTGATATATGTTTTATTTTTGTAACATCAATATTTGTAGAAATATTTATAAATTTTCTATAATTCTGATCAGAATTACAAAAATTATGGAAATAATAAATTAATATAATTATAAAATACAATAATTATAAACAAAATTGTTGATATTATTACTAGAATACAGAATGAGCTAGGCTAAACCTATAAATGTGCAAGCTGTGTCAAGTTTGAATCCAATTTGGACTTATATTTTTGAGTCCATTATTATATAAACTAAGTTTGGATTAGACTTGATAAATATTGGGCTAGGTTTGGACTTTGTAAAAATATCTAAATGAACCTAATAGGCCTAATAATATCTTTTAGTAGATGTTATATAATTTGTATAATGAATGTTAACCTTATATAAATAGGTATATATAACGTACGATACAAGATACTATATAAGATAAAATCTTTGTAATTTCGAGTACTTTATTATTCTCACTTATAACTTCAAGTACTTTTATTTTACTTGTGACTTTAAGTGCTTTGTTATTTTCACTTGTAATTTCAAGTGTATTAATACTAGTAAAGAGTCACAAAACACTTAATCTGAAAAATAGACTATAATATGTGATAATTATTCTACTAAAGAATTATAATTCCAATTAGACTTATTAAACAATTATAAACCTTCACCTATTATAATTAGAAATGTAAAGTATCTGTTCTTCTGTTAGTGAAAATGAAAATTTCAAAATTAATGAAAATTCTGAAATAATTACTGTTAATGAAAATCTTGAAATAATCACTACAAATAAAAATTCTAAAATAACTAATGAAAATTCTGAAATAACTACTGTTAATAAAAAACATAAAAAAAGCAAGTCTCAATTATGGGTTTTTAAAGAAGATCACTTTATTCAGTATAATTCTTAGAATAATAAATATACTTGTTTTGTTATATTATAATTATTAATCTTATGAACTAATTAATATTTATATCATATAATTCATTAGAAAATTATGTTCAATGTATACATTACAAGAGTGTTTTAAAACATAATAACATGACAGGAACCAGTGCCTTAATTTGTCATATGAAAAATACAAAATGTAAAAAATATATAAAAGTTAATAAATTACAACAAACATTACAATTATCTACATCAAGCCTTGTTAATTATAAGTTTTTTCAAGAAAGAAGTTATCAAAATTTATCAAAAATAATTATTATACATATATATTTATTTTGCATAATTGAATATGAAAGATTCTTAACATTTGTTAATAATTTATAGTTACAGTTTAAAGTGATAAATGAGAAAACAACATGTGAAAATTGTAAAGATATTGTAAAAGATTTTAAGTTAAAAGTCCATATGATAATACAAGAGGCTTCTGGACATCTAAGCTATATAACTAATTTGTAGACATTAAATCAGACTCTTGGATATATGGTTGTTATATATCACTTTATTAATAAGAATTAAAAACTTCAAAAATTGGTCTTGGCATTTAGAATAATTCTGATACTATATACAGGAATTGTCATTAGTGAAATATTTTTTAAGTACTTTAATGATTGGAATATAATATCAAGAACATTAACTATTATTATAGATAATGTAACTAGTAATGATGTTGTAATAAATAATATAAGACATAAGTTTAATGACTAAAACATACTTGTTACCAATGAAACACTAGTCGAAAATTGATAAAACATACACATATCGGGTACCTGATATATGCATGGTGTGTCCCTAATATCGGGCATATATCGAGTATTCGATAAGTATAGAAAATATTTTTTTACACTTATCGGGTATCCGATATATATATAAAATATTTTCTACACTTATCGAGTACCCGATATATGTCCGATATTAGGGACACACCATGCATATATCGGGTACCCGATATGTGTATGTTTTATCAATTTTTGACCAGTAAAAATTTATTGAATTAATGTTGTTGTGCTTATAATATAAATTTTATAATTAGTAATGGTCTCAAAATAGTTAAGAATATTACAAGTAAAACTCAAGAATGTGTAAAGTAGATCTGTAGTTTACAATATTGATAACAAAACTTTGAAGATGCTGTAATTAGATATTGTATTGAATTTGCATTAAGTTAATAATCAACTTTTGATATATCCAGATACTAGAATTCAATATACTTAATATTAATATTCACTATTCTATATAAAAATATATTTGAGTATCTTGCATTATGAGATAATAATTTTGAATCAATTATGTCTTTCAATAAAGATTAAAAAAAAGCTGAAAGTATTTGTGATTTTTTGAGACTATTTTATGAAGGTAATAGTAATTATTATTTAATATATTAGGAATTTTGTTTATACTTAGAATTTTTAAAAGCAAATATATTTTTAAAAAATAACAAATATAACAAAACAAAAAAAAATAAAAAAAAAAGGGTAAAAAAAAAAATGAAATTGATAAATTAATTTAAGAATATAGTAGTATGTTTATGAGAGAATTGGACCAGAAATTGATACCCAAAATCTATATAGCATTTTACTTTTTTGTCGTTATTGAAAACTTTTCTGTATATATATTTTTATAGTATTTTACTTAATTTTTTTTGATCATTATTCGAATGACAAATAATTTATTTTTTTGTCATCATCTCAATATTACTACTTTGCTTGCTATAAAAAAAAAAAATTCTGAAAGTAAAGAACTTTAGTTTTGAACCTGAGTAGGTATTCCCTCTACAAACTTAAATTTAATATTATTTTCTTTACTATTTTAATTCTTTTCTAAACTACATTTGTTTACTATCTAGTCTATTGTTACTGTGAAGCATGAATCCCAAAGGATAAATGCGAAACAGTTGTGAAGTGAAATGAAACATAGTTAACTATTTAGTTTTTATTTTATTTTTAACTCCAAAATTTATATTAATTCAAAGTTTATCTATAATTTAATATTTTCACGATTTAACTTTATTTACATTAATAAAAAAAAATTACTATTCTATAATATATCCAATTTCCTATTTGCTTCTAACTGACTCATTAATTTTTTGATACCTTTATTAAAAAAAGTTAGGCCAGATTTTATAACTAGAATATATAACAATAGTACTAAAATTCGTGTATTAAAAAAGTTAGACCAGATTTTATAACTAGAATATATAACAATGATACTAAAATTCGTGTACTAAAAAAGTTAGGCCAGATTTTATAACTAGAATATATAACAATGGTACTAAAATTTGAGTACCAAAAATTGTTCTTGGTATTTAGCACTCTAAAACAAGCTCCTGATATACAAAAATATATATAATTTATTATTGCTTTATAATTATATTTTGATATACAAAATTGTTCTTGAATTAAATCAATTTAAATTACATTCCTGTTATAATAAAGATAGCATAATAGAAATGGTTATAAAAAAAAACCAGCCTTGTGATCATTATGACAAAATATTTTCTAAATATTGAAAACTTATTTAACACTTAAATCAAAAAAATCCATATAAACCTAAATTTTATATTTCTGAATTACCAATAAGTTTTTATCTTGAAATAAATGAAAGCTCAGAATCTGAATATTATATAACAGATGAAGGTCCAGATGAATATTTCTAATAAATTACTTGTCTAATTACTTAATATCTATACAAGGCATTAGTATATAATAAAATTTTTTTTTCGAATAAATGGATAGTAAAAAATTTATGATATATAGTTCAAAAGATATCAAAATTATAAATTAGTAGAGTTATCATGAACAAGAATATGTTTTTTTTTAAAATGTTTCTAATAATACCTACCAATATAAAAATTTCTAATGTGATTAGGACATTATTTACTTAATGATAATACATCCTTATTACATTCTAAATACAATATTCTATTTTTTGATTTTTTATAATAACAACACCTATATAGATTCATAGATGTACATCTACAAACTTCACCAGATGGTTTAAGATATTTACAAGTATATTCACCAATCATTTTATAAGGTAAAAATTTAATTTAAATAAAAGATTTTCTATAAGTATATTATAAAACTTTTATTACTTTATATTTATCAAATATTATATCTATTCAAATGTCAAATACTATTCAAAATATTAATCAATTATCTATCAAAACTGAAACCTGTCTCCCAACATGACAAGATATCGAAAAATCAATAATTAATATATTAAGAGCAAGTAACTTTTATAACAAAGATAGAAATATAGGTTTCATAGCTTATTATAAAAACTACCTTAATGAATTACGTAAATTAGAAGATCAAGAGTAATATATTATAATTAAAACTAGATCACTTCTTCCTAATGAAGAAATATATGATACAAAAATAAAAGCATTCACCAATTTCTATTCAAAAGTGAACTGAAAATTAGACAAGCTATTTTAAACTATCTTAAATTAATTCACAAAATTACTAAAGAATATTTTATTACAAAAGAGGAAAGAGAAGAAGAACTTCAAGTATGACTTAACTCTTAAGTACCCATTTCAGTAAATATTCAACATTTCTAACTACCATCAGTTGTTTTCTCACAAATGATCTTCTAGGTTCATTACCATTTTTATCCATAAGTCAGTATAATACTAGTTGATTTTTTTGTATTAATGATTCCTTAATATGATAAACTTTGAGAAACCAATTCATATCAGTTATGCATCTTCTGCTAAATTTTAATTCTTCAAGTTCAAGTAAATATAAAACAGAATCTTTATAGGTTAATCGAGGTTCATCAAACCCAATAGGCCTTTGATGTTTAATTGTAAGATCTGCAATAATTTTTTCATCTTTTAAAGTTCTCTTTATAGCTTCATTAGGAGATATATAAATTAATCAGGTATTATTATAAATATTATTATTTATATAAAGCCCTTTAACCCATACTCTAGATCTATTAGACAAAGGTAAATAAAAATCTACGGTATCTTGATGATTAAAACCATGTTTTTTAAATTCTTGATAATCATGTTTAGCAATTGCATTGCTACGTTTAGATTTTTTAAGATCAAAATATACGTCATGACTTAATAATAAATCTTTACACTCAGCCAAATACTCAGTACCTTTATCAGTTCTAAAAACATTAGATCAAGAAAGAAGATTGTTAGAATTATCAAAAATTTTTTTAATTACTTTAAAAACTGTAGAAGCTGATTTATTAGTTAATACATAACTTTTTTGATATCTAATAGTAACATCCTTTATTACAAGTCTATATTTAAAAATTTGATTTCCAATTTTATCATGAGGCATAGGAGTAAGATCAGATTGATACATTTCATTTAAATCTTGTATATTATTAAAAGAGGCATATTGAATAAACTTTGAATATAGTTTATAAATTTGATACAAAGTTTAACTTTCAAGCTAATTATTTATCTTGACTAATGTAAAATCGAATTCAGCTTTTTGTAAAATTTCATAAAGTTTTTTACTAGTCCTTTGATATCTAAAAGGATAATAATAAATTTTTTGCAAAGCAATAGATATATCAAATTTCCAAGATTCTAAAGGGTCTATAATAATACTAAGATTACTCATTTTATTTATAGTATAGAAAATCCTAACGATGACATCAAAGATTAAGTAATTTGAAAATAGTTTATTAGCTATAAAAAAGTGGTTTTGAAAATTACAGCAAAATTTAATTTTAAAAGAAGATTATATCAAATTTCTTGAGAAAAAGATATTAATTTGTGATGATAAACTAGGTCTATTGCATTAACAAATATCTGATATTAAAAGTTAATTAGAAAAGACAATTCAGACCACTGTAAATCAAGAGAAATATATAGATTATCTGAAAAAGCTATTAGTAATTTTTCAGGAAAATATCAATGCACTTGATGAAAAGATCAAAATTATTTCTTTGAGAAGAAGCTCATCAGATTCATATACACAATCTTTAAAAAAACAAGATACTGATATAATGAATCTTGATCCAATTATACAGATTAATCGAGGCTTAAACCATATTGAAAATTATCTTAAAGAAGTTGAAATACTATTAAATAATCCTATCAATATTGTAAATAGCATTAGAGGTTCTTTGAATATTGTCCAGTATAATTACTAATCTACATATCAGAATATAGATGATATTATCACCCAACGGGATAATTGAGATAATCAGATAACCTGATTACAATAGGACATTAATAAATATAGACAGCTCAATACACTTTGACAAAATTATATCAATCAGTTAATCCAAGATGGTATTACTTTGCAAAATCGTATAGAGGATATAAAAAGATTTTGTAATTTTTGAAAGTTAAATGCTATCTTTATCAAAACTCAAAAAGACAGGTGCATCAGTACATTATTGCATAAACAGTTTGCATCACAGCTCTTGAATAGATGAGTAACCTAACAATTGGAATGGCAGTTGTAACAATGTTATAATTATGGAACAATATTAGAATATTGGCGAGATCAACTTATAGTGAAGTATGAAAAATGAAAAAATAAAATCCATGACGTCCAGTAAACAATTATTAATTTATGTCAATAAATTTTTGTATTACAAAATAACCCATTAGCAAATTCACTCAATATGGCCACTGTTTCTAGACAGCATATATATCAAACTATTTAAATAAGTCTTTCACATATTCCTAATTATATAAGACAAGAACTATTAGATAACTATTGTAATAAGATTCAACAAGCAATTTCTTTTGCTGATACAATGATAGCTGATGTCAATTATGCAAATAATAATACTTTTACTGATATACATAAGGTAGATATCTATAAATCAAAAATAGCAAGAAAATATGTTTCAGTTCCAGTTCAATATGAAGAAAATAATATTGATATTTCAGCCTAATTTAGAGCTTGACTTAGATATAAATATTATGAATTAACTGTAGGAACAAGACAAGTGTCTTTAACAAAATTAATATAAGAAAAATTCTTACCTACTGATATTCCAGAAACTTATGAATAAAGAATTCGATTTTTATTATTACAAACATCAAATAATAATGCTGATGCATTGATAATTTTATGGAACCATCTATTAGATGAGCTCTTTTCAAGAATAGAAATTACAGTTCCAGCAGATATAGATATGTTCTTTATCAATCTAAAAAATATCTCTTAAATATTAACCTTCTATTTTTACATATAATGAAAATAGAAATTTATCTATTATTGCAACTAATTCACCTCTCATCCCATATTAACCACAACCTTGAAAAAACAAAAATAGGATATTAGAACATTTAAAAAGTATTGCTATGAGATTAAGATATTCAGACAGTGCATCTTGAAATCCTAATGCTTTAGAAAATTTTATCGAAGATAAGTTATACATAAGATTAAGACATACAAATTATAATCTTAGAAAAGAAGCTTTTGATCAAACTAACGGAACAAATATTAGAGTAATTAAAAAAGTATATGCTACAAAAAAACTAACTAAAGTTATTAAAGTTATATATAAATGTTCAGATTGTAGAAAAATTGGATATAGAAAAAATAAGTGTTCTAAACTTGATAAGAAAAACAAAAAGATTAATTATACTTATCAATTCAAATCAGAAAATTCTGATTAAGAGGATGAACCTATGGTAGTATTAGATAATTTCAATAAGAAAAGATCTGAAAATGAAAAAAGCATCTCTGATAATAAATTATAATTATGTTTCAACATAAAAAAAAAATCAAATTCCTGTAAAGAAGAAACCTTCTACTAAGAAAAAATCGATCATTACTTTGGAACAGGAAGTATTTCTTGAATCTCTTAAATATATGATATCTGAATTATACGTGTTGCCCAAATCCCAAATCATTTGGGATTTGGGACGCCAAAATTCCAAATTACTAGTATTTGGGATTTGGGATTTGGGATTTCGGCAAAAAATACTAATCATAATTTGGGATTTGGGATTTGGGATTTCAGCATTTGGGATTTCGGCATTTGGATTTTGAATTTGGGTGGCAGGTATATTTTGAATTAATATAATTACTGATATTGTAAAAATTAATCTGCAATTGAATTAATAAAATAATAAAATTGGAAATATTAAATAAAAGTTATATTAAATGATAAAAATGTAGTTAACGAAAGAATAATGGATATTATGGGATTAAATACTTGGTTATATGATTGTATAATATTATTATTCCTGAGTTAATGAAATTAGTTATAAACTATTAGTATAAATCCTGAACTTGGAATAATAATTAACTTGAATAATTGAAGATAATATTTAAAGTAGATGAAATTAAAAGATGATTAATGGATGGATATTAACCTTAAGAATAATAATAAACTTGAAAAGATATTGAAGTAAATTGGACAAAAGTTCTAATTCCTTTTCTAAAATAACTGAATCAGTGATATCTTCTAAAGTAATAAAACAACAGTCTTACCTTTGGAAAAAGACTATAAACTCATTAAAAGAACTAGTAAGTCACTTATTTAAATTGTTCTTGAGAAAACCAAGAACCTCTGGTGACAGCATCTTAACTATGTCACATCTTAACAATGGCATGTCAAATTTATTCTTGTGATTATTCATTTGCATAGATCCATTTGTTTTTCGTATTTCATCAAAAGCAAAGCTCTTTCAATCATGACAATACCTAAATGATTAAGGTAATGTTTTATACTAGATTTATTTAGATCCTCCATTTATTATATTTTTAAATATATTGATCATGATACTTATTTTTTAACCTGTAACCAGAAATAATAATCAATAATTTTATTTTTGGTGAAGGTTTCAAACATGCAATTAAGATATAAATATTTCAGTTGTGACAACGTATTTCAATAAAACAACCAATAAATTTTCGTGTGATTTAACTTTTGAATATATTCACATTTTGTAATAAAATAATATCAAATGATCAATTAACATTCAATACCTTGAGAGAATTAGATTCTAGGCTTGCATCTGAGATTACTGAACTTAGAAAGGAGAATGCTGAAATTCCTGAACTTAGAAAAAAATTTTCTAAAGTTGAGGTCGAAAACAATAAACTTAAACTGAGAACGTAAAATTAAAACAAACTTTGGAAGAACATGAATTCAGATTTGTGAAACTGGAGCAGAATGATAAAGATACTGCTGTTGAAAATGCTAAGCTTAAAGTTAGAATAGGTAAGTAATACTTCGTTTATTTTATTAGTTTAAATTATATATGTTTTCAAAATTGATTTTTAATTTTTGGAATATTTTGTCTTTTTGAGATTTACACAGAATCTATTCTATATATGGAAGTAAAAAAAAAATACCTAGTTAAGTGTATTTTTAATCAAAGAATTTATCTTGGTCAAAATTATAATTTTGGGGTTCCAAAATAATTTTGTGTAAGTATAATATAGATGATTTTCTGATATTTTTAAAACTTTTTTTGCAGTAAGATCAGATGGTGCAGTACAGTTCTAGATCTAAACAAGAAAGAAGAGAAATTATTTTTTTTTTATATCAGATTTGTAATGATACACCATATAAATTCTGGAATACATAGCTAAAAAAAATATTTATTGATACAGATAAAATACAGGATAAAAATCTATTAGTTATTTATTTTAATTCGAGCCCTTTTACTAGTAGGGGAATTATCAATATTAATTCTATCTTTTAACAAGCCAACAATAATACCTAATACCTGTTTTACACCTTTCCGAATTGATTCAAGATCATCTTTAATGCCGTTTTGGAAAGATTAATTTGGTATTCACTTTTACTGGTACAATATAGTCTATCAATGGTATATATCATTCCGTTACTAAAAAAATAAATATAGATTTTCGTTAAGGAATATGTGTCTGAAATATTAGATCCAATATTAATTACAATATCTGTAGAAACTATTCTATAAAGATAGTTATAATCATGATTTCGAAATTCTTGATCTGTGTCGATAAGTATGGAAATTCCGCATGTATAGTGGCCTTGTGATCAGATGTTCTGAATCTGATAATTTATTTATAGTAGAGTAGCAGTAATATCAGTGACAATACAATTATGTCTTCCTACTTTGATTTTTCAAATCAAGAAAACCAATTGGAAAATTGTAAGATTCGAACATATGCCAAGACAGCTTTACACAGTTGTGTCGTTCCTCAAATTCTCACATGTTCATTAAGAACTAGTGAACGTAAAGATATTGTTTTTGCTAAGGTAAACACGATTAAATATGATAATATTTAATTATCATTATTATTATTATTATCATTATTATTATTATTATAATTATTATTATTATTATTATTATAATTTGTTCTAATTTTATTAATTGTAAATGAAATGTTAAGGAAACAGTATTGGAATTATTAGAAATAACACGTGAAGGAACTCTTGTGTCAATATTCGAACAACCAGTTTTTGGTACAATAAAAGATATCAAAGTACTTCATTGTCGTTTCTCAGAACCAGTATATTATGATCCATTAAAAGAAATAGAAGAGAATAACAATGATTTCAAGGAGAGTAACAATAACGAGAATAACAATGAAAATGATAATAATAATAATCATAACAAAGACAAAGAGAGTAATAATAACAATAATGATGATGGTGATGATAATGATAATGATAATGATGATAATAATAATAATAATAATAATAATAATTTTAATAAAAAAAAAAATAAATATTACACCAAATCGGAATATGAATTAAATGAAGATTTAATAAATCAAGAGAGTCTTCGAGTAATTCCTGGTCATGATGTTTTAGTTTGTTTATCGGATTCAGGAATTCTATCATTTATTGCGTATACTGAAAGTGCATTTTTGCAACAAAAACAACAACAAGGGAATAAAGGGAAAGGGAAATATTTTGATTATAATAATAATTTAAATAATAATTTAAGTAGTTCAAATTTGGATATTGCAAGAAAATCTGGAAAATTTCTAAGTATTAAGGAGGTTAGAAAAATATTTATAATATTTATTTTATTTAATATTTATTTAATATTTATTTAATATTTATTTAATATTTATTTAATATTTATTTAATAATAATATTAATATAATATTTATAATCATCAAGATAAAATTGTCAGAACCTGGATTTGATTATAAAGATATTGGAAGATTGGTTTGTATAGATCCAATGTAAGATAAGTCATTTTCTTTATATATTTATTTCTTACTTTAATATTCTTTAGTATTTAACATTTTTATGATATTGTTATTTAGGGGTCGTTATATAGCTGTAGCAGCATGGCAAAATTTATTCCAACTATTTTCACTCACTCATGACTCAATCTTTGATTTTGATGCTGCTGAACATGTACGTTCTCATTTATTTATTAATTAATCACTTTTAACTATTATATTTAATCACATATCTTAATTATAATTTAATTGAATATTTTTAATTATATTAATTAATATTTAATTATATTTTAATTTATATTAATTATATTTTAAATATTATAATTAATATTTAACTGTATTTAATTATATTATTAATGTTGTGTTATTATTATTAGACAAATAAATATTTAATTGATGGTAATATAATTTTGCATATGACATTTTTATATCCACAAGATGAATCCAGTATTTTATTGGCGTTGGTAGTATTTGAGTGAGTTATATTATTTATATTATTTATTATAATAACAATTATTATGATTATTATAATAATAATTATTATTATGATTTATTAAATATTTTTTTTTATATTAATTAATAATTAGCGAGAATTCAAAGCGAACAAGTATTTTATTATACAATTTGGTGGCAAGTGAAAAGCCGGAAGATCGAATTAAAGCAACACAGATTATTTTAGATAAAAGTAATTATTATCATTATTATTGATTTATTATTTATTATTTATTATTTATTATTCAATTATTATTTACTATTTATTATTGAATTTACTATTTATTATAAATTATGATTTTATTTTATCTATATATTTTTTTTATATAGATGAATTTTTTCCCACACAGTTTATACCATTACCAAATTTTCCAGAATGTTGTCTCCTAGTAAATGTATATATGTGAAAATTATATTTGATTAAATTATCGATTACATTAATGATTAATGATTTATATTTAAATATTTTTCTTTTAGGAACATGAAGTTTGTTTTGTTCGTGGGAAGAATGGGGAATTAAAGAATATTACTTATCGAGTAGTATTGCCTGTATCACAATGTGATTATTATTATTATTATTATTATATTATTTTTACAGTGATTCCTTCTAATTCTAATAATTCTAATAATTCTAATAATAAAAATAATATTATTTTTATAATAATTTAATTATAATAGCACTTATGACATCATTCGCATATCCCATGGATGCATCAGTATTAAAACGTACCGCCGCACTTCCATTATCACCTAAACAATATATTTATGCCGGAATGGAATCTGGTTATTTATACAGGATTGATATAATCTCCGAAAGATCCATAGTTTTTACCCTATTGCACGATGAGAAATTTATAAATCCGATAGGAACTGGTATGACCGTGTTATGCCTTGATCCGGAAATTGGTGATTTCATTATTTTCAGTGGTGAAATGAGTGATGGAGCTGTAGTAATGGTAAATTTTATTTATTTATTTTAATTATATTTATTTTATTTAATTATATTTATTTTAATTAATTATTATATTTTATCATAATACATCATATTAATTTAATTTATAATTCTTTATCATAAATTATAATATAATATAAATTATATTATTATATTATTTTTTTTTTTATCATAATATTATAATATTAATTAATTAATTTATAGTCAGGTCCCAAATCAAAATCAAAAATAACTTGGGAAATTCCTAATTGGGCACCAATTTCAGATTTTCAAATGCTTGATTTACATAAAGAACGTCGTGACGTTATATTCTCTTGTAGTGGAGTAGCACCTTATGGATCAATTAGAGAATTAAGAAAAGCTATTGGTGTCAACGTGATTACTAAGACGGAATCCGATTTTAATGGGTGATTATTAACTTTAATAATATATTAGAATTAATATTTAACTTTATTAACTTTAATAATAATATTAAATTAATAATAATAATATTATAATAATAATAATAATAATAATATAGTATAAATTCACTTTGGAATTTAAAATATAACGTTAATGATATCATAGACACATTTCTGGCTATATCTTTCTCCAATTCCACTCGACTTATGAGAATTAGTGAATGTGAACTTGATGATGTTAGTGATCAAAGTGGACTTGATCTTGAAGTGAGCTCAATATTAATAGCATCTTTAGTAACAACAACAACAACAACATCATCATCTTCTTCACCTTCATATTCACCTTCATATTCACCTTCATCTCCATATATTGGTGGTGGAGTATCTCATATTAGAGAGGTTGAAAAAGATTATGAATTAAATTCAGGATATTTAATTCAAATTCATCGTAAATCAATTATTGTATCAAAACCAAATATTATTTCCGGATTATATTTACCAATTACACATATTACCAAATTTCGATGGATTCCCCCTGATAATTCAATTATTGAAGTAGCCGATGTTTATGATTCAATTGTAATAATTAGTTTATCAACTATAAATGGAAGTATACTTTATGTTCTTCAATTATTGATTGATCCTTCTTCTGTGTAAGTTGTTCTATATTTATCTATATCTATTTATTTATACATATTGATCGTTGTAATAAACTTTGATTTTTATTATTATTATTTTTTTTATTTAGACATAACAAAGTATCTTTCTCGATACTCGCAGAAGTTCCCTTGGATAGTCAAACTTGTTTTATTCGTTGTTTAATTCCAAGGTAATTTTTATATTATTGAATTTGATATCATTAATGAATTTGATTAATTAAATTAATTGAATAATTGAAATTTTTAATTATTATTTTATTTTTTTCAAAATTATTTCTTTAATATTTTTCTTCCTTTAATTAAAGTTCTCACGTACCTGTACCTATTTGTATAATTGGAACTTATAAACCATCAATAAAATTTTTTTTATTGAATCAACCTGAAAATTGGTTGAAATTAGTACACGAAGAATTTTTAGGTAAAAAATATTTTTAATATATATATATATATATATATATATATATTGTGTCTCAGAACGATCCTTGACTCAGATTAAAACTGGCCAAAGTTAGGGTTAGGGTTAGCCAAGGTTAGAAGGATCTACATAGGCCAATTTTATAATTCTAATCAATGGTTGACACCTGAGGTGTCTCAGTCGCGATCTGAGGTACAACATACATATATATATATATAACTTTCATGTATTAGCATTAATTTTTTACATGAATTTTAAACATCAATTTAACTTTTAGCATTTTAACATTGTTATATTTTAAACTTTAATTTTAAAATCTTAACTTTTTATTATTATTATTATTATTATTATTAAAGATGACATTATGATGACCAAAGTTAATATACCTGAATCGATTCTTATTATTGGGGACAATGAAAAAGCATATTTTTTGGCAGGTTTGTTCAATCATTAGTAAAAATAATATATATAATATATATACAGTAATTAATAATCTTATTTATATTTTACTTCCTTAGGACTCAGAGAAGGAGCAATAACTTGTTATGAATGGATATGGTCCACAGGTAAATAAATTAATCTAGATAATATAATTTATAATTATTTAATAATAATATTTATTATATTTATTATATTTATGATATTTATTATATTTATGATATTTATAATATTTTTGATATTTAATATAGTTGAAAATAAACCATTATTATCAAGTTCACAATGTCGTAGAATTGGAACCTATCCCGTTAAATTTATTGTACCAAATAAAAATCAACCTCTAACAATTTGTAATGTGAATGATTCCACTTCGATATTGGCACTTTCCGATCGACCTTGGCAAATTAAATATTCGCATCGTACAGGTTTAGATTTTATTTGTGTTGCCTTTAAACATTATGAACATGTAAGTGAAATGATGATTATGATGATGATGATGATGATGATGATGATGATGATCATATTATTAATTAATTTATTGAATTATTACTTATTTTAGGTACAAGAGGCTGTTTACTTTCGTTACGCGAATTTAACTCAAACATACATGTTCGTCTCAAATGATTGTTTGAATTTCGTTAAATTAAATGATTTCATTAAGAATAATATGCGAACCATTATTGTAGATGATGTGAGTTATTTCTAATATTTTATTTTTATTTTTATTTCTATTTTATTTCTATTTTTATTTTTATTTTTCTATTTTTATTTTTTTTTATTTTATTTTATTTATTTTTATTTTATTTTTATTTTATTTATTTTTATTTTTATTATTTTTGCAATAGACACCACGAAGATTATTTTATGATGATTTAAATAATTTACTTTTGGTGTCTTGCGTAAGTAGTTCAGAACCTTTTCCCACATCAGTATTAAAGTTGGTTGATCCAATCAAGTAAGTTTATTATTATATTCCTTTTTTTTTCCCATTTTAGAATGTGAGAATAAATTAATAAATAAATTATTATTTAGTGGAGTTATTTTTGATGAATATTTTTTACGTTCTGAAGAGAATTATGAAAGTGATATTCGTGAAGCGGTGTATTCGATATCTGGTAATAATAATAATAATAATAATTAATAATAATCTAATTATTTTTATATTTATTCATAAATATTAAAAATTATAAAATCAAAAAATAATTATTTTTGTTAGAATGGAGATTTACAAACGAACGACAAGATTTTCGATGTATTTGTATTGGTACAGGATTTCATCGAGGTGTTGATAATGCTGTTAGACCTACACCTCCTCATCGCGGTCGTCTCTTAATTTTCATCATTAAGAAATCTTTAGATGATTATGTAAGTCATCAATATCAAAACTCAAAGATTTAAGTTTCGTTTATTAATAATAATAACAGCAACAATAATAATAATAATATTGTTGAAATTATTGTGAAATATAAATAAATATAAATATAATTTATTCAATTTATTCATATAATTTTATTCTAGGGAGTATCTCGTCTTAAATATCAACTCAAATTAATTACTTACACTGAAGTTGATGATCCTGTTCATTCAATTTGTCCTTTAAATAATGAGTAATTTTATTTATTTATTTTTATTTTTATTTTTTGTTTCGTAGATTTCATTTGTTTTTTCCTTTACAAAGAGAGAGAGAGAGAGAGAAATGATTAACTTGATTATTTTTTTTATTGTTATTATTATTTCATGAATATTTAGATATCTTCTTGTAGGAGCAGCAAACACATTAAACTTGTTACGTTTTAATTTGGAAATGAAAAAGTATGAATCAAATCTTTTTTTTAAAAAAAAGAAAAAAAAAATAATTTATACAATAGTAATAATTTATTATCAAAAAAATAATAGGTTAATTTTAATATACAATAAATCACATCGATGGCCAATCTTATCTGTTAGTGCTTGTGGGACTCGGATTTCCGTTGGAGCTACTCATGGTTTTTACTTTTATGAATTTGAAGTAGATAAGGAAAGATTTCGATTTTTAAAATCGTAAGTTTTTTTTTTTTTTTGTTCTTTAATAATCAATATAATTAATTGTTCTTCATAAATTATATCAATAATTAATATAATTAATATAATTAATGTATGATTAATGTAATTAATCTAAATTAATGTAATTAATGTAATTAATCTAATTAATGTAATTAATTTAGTGAAAGGACTTCACGATTAATTAATGACACGATGATGTTAAATGAAAACCTTGCAGTCGGATGTGATAAAGATGGTGATGTATATGGATTAATGTATGATGCAGGTAAAAAAAAATTTATTTATTACTTTTTTTTTTAAGTATACTTTTTAACTATTATTATTATTGTTATTTTTATTTTTTTAATTATATTTTAGGTGATTCAAGTATTGAACCCGTCTTGAAACAAGTATTTTCTTTTCACGTTGCCGAGATAATATCACGATTACGTGTTGGTTATCTTAATTATCGTTCCGAATCATTCAATAATAATCCTCCAGGAAATTCAGATAATAATAATAGTAATATAGATGATAGTAATAATAATAATAATAGTAATATAGATGATAATAATAATACGAAGAAGAATGATGATTATAATAATAATGGATGGGATGTAGATTGTGAAATTACGCGACCCGCTGCAGTTATTGTCGGATGTTCGCTTTTGGGAAGTGTATTTCTTTTTATGAGAATTGGTATTAAAACTTACGACCTTTTGTTAGTTTTACAATCCATTCTTGAGAAATGGCCAACTACTCGTCCTTGTTTAGGTCGGTGATTTATTTTTATTTTATTTTATTTGTGTAATTCTTTTTGATGTTCTTGGTATTAAATATATCTAATATTTTAATAATATATTTTAATAATATATATATTTAAATAATATATTTTAATAATATATTTAAATAATATATTTTAATAATATATTTTAATAATATATTTTAATAATATATTAAATAATATATTTAAATAATATATTTTAATAATATATTTAATTAATATATTTAATAATATATTTAAAAAATTAGGAAATGATAACAGAAATTTCCGAACAAATAATCGTCGCCAATCATTAAATTTGGTAATAGATGGTGAAATGGTATCACAATTTTTAAGATTAACCCGAACAGAACAATTTAAAATAGTGAATAATAATCCTAAACTTATTAATGCTGGTACAATATTTTTACGAGGAGAACAAATCGAATCAGAAGAATCAAGAATAAATCAAATAAAACAACAACAAATAACAGCTGATCATTTAGAATATCGAGGTAGTGGTGGTAATCTTGATGTCATTGAGAATATTAATGATAACGTTATTGATAACATTGATGAAATAATGTATGATGATGAAATTACAACCAAAGCAAAAACGACGACGACAACAACAATAACAATACAAGATGATGAACCTGAGGTTTATATGGAAGAAGATGAAGAAGAAGAAGAAGAGGAGGAAGGGGAAGAAATATCAACACGTAAAGCACATAATAATAAATCAATCAATAAGGAAGAAGGATTTCCTGAATTATTAGATTTTCCTGAAGAAGAAGAAGAAATTATTAGAAATAAAATAATAGAAAAAAATCTAGTTTCCACTGAAGAAATTGTGGATTCAATTCAATCATTGTTATCAGAATTAAATATGCAAGTTTCTTAATGATGATTATTATTATTATTATCAAATTGATGATTTTTTATTTAATAATAATAATAATAATATTTTAAGATTATTTAAATTGTTAGATTTGATTTATTTGATCAAAAGAAATTCAACTTTGTTAGGAAAATATTTTGTATAATAATAAAGTTTACTTCAATTATCATTTTTTTTTGTAAATTAATTAATTAAACTAATTTAATAAATATCATTACTTATTATTTATCACTATTTATTATTTATCACTATTTATTATTTATTATTTTTTATTTTTTTATTAATTAATTTTATTGATTTTAATTTATACGAATATATTCAGTTCAGTATTTGTATTGTTGGTTTGTTTTATTTTTTGTTTTTTGTTTTGCATCAATGTTATTCTACCTTATATCGTAATGACTATCAATAAATAAATAATAATGGTTAGCAATAAGGATAAAAAAAAGAAGTTCTCTCTGCATAAATAAATAAAAAAAAATTTCATTGTACCATTTCTACCATATATATTTATTCTCAAATATGTAAAAATTTTAATATTACAGTTAAAAATAAAACTCAGATTTACAAAAATAAATTTGGTTAGCAAATAAATACAAAATAATACCTCAAGGGTGGAGGTTGCGGTTGTTTGTGTTGTTTGTGTTGTTGTTGTTTAGGTTTTTTGTTGTGGGAAAATTTTACGCCTTTATATTGAAAAAAGGAATTATTTTGCAGAATTGTTTTTTTTTGTTATTTTACCATTCCATTTATTATTTGTTATTTGTATCGGATCAGGAAAGTTATATATATAATAATGGTCATATATATACTGGATTAGTCATTTACTAGTCATATATAGTTATAATAGTCATATGTAATTGTCACATATATACATATATAATAGATATAAGGGAAACAGCAACAACTTTTTTTGTTATATAGATGAAAAGAGAGATTTGGGAAATTTGAACCTATCACAACATATTCTTTTACCTCAGAGAGTAAAAAATCGTGACCGAAATATTTTAGATATTTTTAGATGATTTTTATATGTTTAGATATTTATTTTTTTGTTTATTTTGTGTATTTTTTTGTGATGGTTTCATAATGGCTTCATAATGGCTTCATTATTGCTATAGACCTCTAAATAGTAAAAACCAGTTCAATTCAATACAAGTGTATGTTGTTAGTATTGTCTCTCTCTTTTTTTCTCAAATCAAATTTATTCTTATTTAACCTTTTAAATTATTTTCAAAAAAGTTTTCTCTTCGTTAATTATTATAATAATAATTATTATTATTATAATTAATCACTTTTTACAATATGTTATGGTCACCTTTCATTAATTGATCAAATATTAATATCATCTAGTTTTATCAATTTTATCAATTCTACTGATTCTTTTAACTTTAACACTTCTTTTTTGTAATCAATCTATATATATTAATGTTAATATATCTTTAAATATATTTTGATGTGAATATTTTATCCAAAATGAAAGATATTAAATTATTTATCATTACAGATTATAGAATAGAATTAAATTTTTTTTTTTTTTTAAAAAAAAAAAAAAAGATCAATTTTAATGCCCATAATTTCAATACTTTAAAAAATGAATTAAATTTAGTTATGTTTTTTGTAAGATAAAATTTATTCAATCTTTCTTTCATTTTCTTTCTTTCTTTTTAATATATCATATCTTGAAAAAGTTATTCAACAAAATTATTTAATTTATTTATTTCTGTACTTTAATGTATTTTTATGTATATCTTTATGTATAACTTCATTATAACTTTATGTATATTTATATCTGTGATCTTTTAGAATAAGAACTCCAAAAAATATTTTTTTTATTTGAGCAACGATTAACGTATGATCGTCAAGACAATCAAATAAATTATGTGAACTTGCATGGCATGTAAATACATATTTTTTTTAAAAAAAAAAAAAAAAAATTTTTTTTTATTTATTATTTATTATTTATTAAAATTATTTGTAAATTATTTATTATAAATATTTAAATTTTTACTCTTTCTTTCTTTTCTTTCTTTTTTTTCTTGTTCTTTCCAGTCCTTTCATTAATTCATTTTTTTAAAAAAAAAATTTTAAAAAACATATAAAAAGTTTAAATTCATAAATCATCATCTAAATTTTGAATCGATTTCATTTCTTTCCCTTATCACTCATTCCATATTTTATCATCGATATTGTATCACTTCTCTATATTATCTATATCATCTATATATATTATTTTATATTATTTTATGTTATTTAGATTTTATTTTATATTTATATTATATTATTATTTATATTATTTATATTATTCGATATAAATATTTAAATTATGAATAATAATTCAGTTTTGTCACCACCTTCTTGTTGTCAACAATTATCATCTGATTGTTTGGAACAAATTTTTTCACATTTTAAAAATGATAAAAAATCACTTTACATCCTTATTCGAGTTAATCGTCATTGGTGTCGTCTCGTAATTCCTTTACTTTGGTCTCATCCTTTTAAATTTTGTAATAAAGATAAATTATCTTTAATTATTCAAACCTATATCATGTGCCTTTCGAGTAACGAAAAGCAACAATTAATTGATGAAGGAATTAAAATTAAATTTGATAAATTTAATAATAACAACAATATTAGTAATAATAATAATAATAATAATAATAATAATAATAATAATAATAATAATAATAATAATAATAATAATAATAATAATAATTGTTATTTACCTTTATTTCATTATCCAAAATATTTAAAAAATTTCGAATCTCATTTAATTCGATTGGCGATTGAAAATTGGTTACGACAGCAACCTTTACCACCACCATCACCACAAAAGGGACTAGGATTGCAGGGACCGTCACAACAACAACAACAACAACATGGAAGTCGACAACTTGGACATCGACAACGACATAAATCTTTAGCTGAAAAAATTCAAATGACTTATGAAATTATTTGTAATTTAATCTTTAATAGTTGTAATTATCTTCGTGGTTTAACTTATCATTGGAAAGAAGAATTTAATACTATCAAATTATTGGATTACACGAAATTTTCTCGATTTCATCAAGTAATTTATAATCTTCGCATATTTAAATTCGATTATTGTTGTTTTCCTACTCCAGTTACTCGAAATCTTCTTTCCACCATTTCAAAATTTAATAATAATATTCAATATTTATTAATTAACACGGATTATTATGTGGGTTCGGAATTGATGAAAATTATTTTACAATTTATTAAATCACAAAAAAGGATTAAAGTACTTTCAATTAACGTTTGCCTTAATTTGGATGTTGATCCCGAAATATTATATCAATCAATTCAATTTCATTCAAATACCTTAACTCATTTAAAATTAGATGCCATGAATGAATTTGAACAATTATTAAAATTATTAGTGACTTGTAAAAATTTAATAACTTTAGAAATTTTAGGTTTCGATCCTGAAATGATTCCTTACCTTGATGAATTACCTATTATCCCTCAAATTAATATTAAAAATCTTTATTGTTTACCAATTATGAATAGAAATCAAAAAGGAAATTCTAGTGAAATTCAATTATTTTCAATTATTTATCTTCTCAAAATGACAAATTTTAATCTTAAATCTTTTACTTATTTAGCTAATTGTACACCAAATCTTATGAACATTATTAAATATAAATGTTCAAATATTACTCATCTTACATTTCTTTTATCCGAAGAAAAAAATATTCTTGATCTTTGTGATCTCTTAATGAATTTACCAAATTTAGAACATTTATCATTAAAAATAAGTTCATCCGATTTAGAAATTTCCGATAAATTCATTATTCAAAAATTAGCTATCTCAATTCCTTATACTTTAAATACTTTAGGAATTTATTTCTTTTTAACTACCGAATGTTTGAAAATTTTATTAACCAATTGTAAATCAGTTATTAGAGTTTTAACTTTACCTTGTAAATATTATTATATAACTGATGAAATATTTGAAATTCTCAAAAATTATTATTATGAAAAAGTGAATGATCTTGATCATGATCAAGATTATTGTTTAAAAGAATTTCGATATTCTTTATTTTCTGAAGGCAACAATGCATCCATTTCTATTAAACATAATGAAAATATTCAAAAATTAAAATCATTTATTCCGATTGTCGATGTGGCAAATTCATTTTCTACTCCTTTTTATGGTAAGTTTTAATTATTTATTCATATATATATATATATATTCTCGAGATCCAGACATTTTTTTAATTATTTATTTTTTATTTATTTATAGGAAATTTTGATGAATTTAATTTTGTTGAATGATTAAAATAAAAAAAGATAAATAACTGATAATTATTATTAATTAATTATGTAATGATGAATTATGTAATAATGATAACTTGATAATAATTTAAATGAACATTTGAGTATATTCTAAGCCGCACAAAGGATTTTCGTGATGAGCAAATAAAATTCAGACCACCAGCCACAAAGAAAAAAGTATAAAAGTAATAATAATTTCTTAAAAAAAAAATCAATTCTTAATAAAAATGATAGAATTTTTCAAATAAATTAATTGGTTGAAAATTTAGACTTATAACTTAAAAAATTTTTAATGGAAGGTGAAATGCCAAGCGATAAACTTAAGTTTCATACATAATTAATTAATTAATTGGATCGTCATCAATTTAATTGAAAAAATTGTGAATCTATTACTAACTTTATATAAGAAATCAAAAACGACCGTTTAAAATAAAATTTATTTATTTATTAATTTCCTATAAAAAACAAAAACAAATGTCCAAGTATCTGTTATTTCACCTTAGATTAGCGTCAAATTTTTTTGAAACCTATTCTAACCATTTACGAAGATTAATAATTTTATATGGTAAAATTAATATTATTTGTTCGTTCGTGATGATGATTTTACTCGTAATGGACGAGAAAATTTAATCCGAGTCACTTGAATTATCGAATAATAGAATTTCTTTATTAAAATTTATTAGTTTATTGGTTTTTTTTTTTTTTTAAAAAAAAAAAAAATAATAATAATATCGTTTAACGGATCAACGGAATAGGAAATTATTTAGAATTTTAATCTAACTACATTTTTAAAATTATTTCTCAAATTAAATTCTCAAATAAATTTTAATAATGTTTCAGAGTAAAATTATTACATGCGTTACTTATTTAATATGAACTTAATTCGTTTTAGTCACATTTTAAAAAAAATAATAAAAGTAAGCTTAGTTCTAAAAGAATTTTTTCATATTATTTACATTTAATCATTATTTAACCATTAGACAAACAACAAAAAAAAAAATGAAGTTCAATATTTTTATAATTTCATGTCTCGTTGTATTGGTTTTGTTTTCTCCAAATCCTACACTAAGTTGTGAAAAATCTTGTCAAAACGGAATAGGTGATGCTTTCGCTCAAGCTTACACAAAAGAAATTACCAAATTATTTAATAAATTTGATAGTGACCTTGAAACTGATTTATTTAATAGAGTGTCTGGAATGAAAAAAAGTACTAAAAAAGAAATTTATAATTCATGCGTGAATATTATTAGTGATACCGTGAAAACTTTTGAATCAAATCTAGTTAACGTAGTTAAAGATTCCATTTTTAATCAAGAACCTAAATTCAAAGGTCAATGTCAAAATCCTCATAGAGTTAAGCAACCACCTAAAGGTGTTAATTGGACTTTAAGTGATTGTCAAAAGCAAGATTATATTTGTGGGAATCCTCCAGCGATTTGTCATTTTATGGAGTCTATAGTGAAACCAAGAAATGTCAAGAACATTAATAAAAATTTCATTACAACCTTTACAAAATCCTCCACATTTTTAAATAAAATCTCTAACTTAATTTCATCAAAAGTAGATGACAAAAGTAAAGCAAAAGCTATCATCAATAACTTTAATAATTCTCTTAACAATTTTCAAAAAAACGTTTTTAGTAAAAACTTTTGTACTAAAAAAGTTTGCGATCATTACGATAAAAATATTAAATTATTACTTTTATCTTTTCCTTAATAATATTTATTATGTAGTTTATGTAGTTGTATTTTTTTTTTTTTAATTTTATTATGTAGTTTATGTAGTTGTATTATCTGTTATTTTTAGATTTCTATAATTTCTCTCATGTTTTTTTTTTAATTTTATTTGGGTTGCATTTTTAAATAAAGTTTACAAGTAAATTTCCAATATTTATATTATTCGTGTGTGAGTAAATTTAAATACTAATTCTGAAGAAAGAATCATTTTTTTTTTATTAATAACCAAATTTTTTCAATACTATTTTATCAGTATATTCTTTTAATATCTTATTACAAATCTTGGAAAAATCCCAATTCACAAATATTCATTTCTAAATCTACTCTTTTCTTGAATTCTAATTTTCTTTTATTCAATGTTATGAGAGCGTGAGTAGAAAGTAAATTTAAAATATTTCTGTCTTTTTCATTTGTAATATCTTCTTCTATAATATTCATAATATTATCTATATTGTCTATATCGTCTATATTATCTAAATAAATATTATTATTCTTATAATAAGTTACCACAATACTTTCTAATCCAGTACACTTCTTTAACATATCTGTAATAATTATAGATGCCTTCATATCACATCATTACGTCATGTGCGGTCTGCATCTATAGTTATAACGTACAAATTTTATTCGTTGTATGTGCATATGTTGTATATCAAAGATTACTATGTATATCGGAGAAAAAAAAAAGGAAATTTACCAATAAATTTCTATCCAATAATTTTGATCAATAAAAATATACTAGGAAACGGGAACCGTTGTAAGTCCGGAGCGATATTAATTAATTAAAAAAATAAAGCATATGTGTCATCAGATTTTTTTTTTTTATCTTTATTATTTGTCATGTGTTCTTTATCTCACAATCGTTATCATAAAATCGGACAGACACCTATCCGAAGTTACATTTTTGGATATTTTTTATTCATTTTATTGACATATACATCAAGACCAGAATTTTTAAAGAATCAAGAACGTAACTTTGGTATCACTTTACTCGTCCAATAAGTTACGCTCCGGACAAAAATATAAAATATTTCGAAGAAAAAAAATCCTTAATTCTACATTATGATGCAGCTTGATTGAACGAATGAATCATTTTATTCTGTATAAAAATATTAGCCAATTAAGCTTATTTTAACTTATTTAATTATTTTTTAATAGCGTTTTCGATTCATATACTTTTTTATTTCAACACATTAATAAATATATTTTGTTACTTATTGTTTAAATAATAAATTTATCATTTTAAAGTTTATTCAAATTTATTTTCCTTTTCAAACTTTTAATAATAACTGATAATAAAATATTTCAAATTTCAAATTTCTACAAAAGACGAAGAAAAAGTATTTCAATGGTTCTTGAACCAGCCGAAGGAGGAAATGATAAAGGACAGAATAATCTTTGGATATTGTTATAGATATGGGATTGGGATAAAGCATTTCAATGGTTCTTAATCATCAATGGAAATAACACTGGAAATCCTGATGGTATAACTGAACAAGAACGAGATACATATTTTTATTAATACGGAAGCGGAATGTACTTCATTCTATAAATTCAATTTCTCCTCCCACATATGGAAAAATGAAGATTCGTAACATATCATAAATGGGATAGGATTATTAAAAGATCTAAAAAGCGTAATTATGAATTGCCAACATTGAATTTGATCAATGTTTGTCCTTTTCGAAGGGAAGAAAATTCTTTGGAGAACCTTCAAAAGAATTGGACCTATGGAGATGCTCCATACTTCTTAGCATACTATTGCTGTTGGCGTCTTGTAACTTTCATTATTTGCATAAATCTGAAGAAGCACAGAAAGAGAAAACGAAGTGTGTTTATTCACAACGTATTGGTGAATTTGATTTAGTACAAGAATTCGACCAATAGTTGTGGACAATATAGTCTTGCGAATTGTTATTTCTATAGAATCGGTATTACCAAAAATGGCACGTTGTTACATGAAATCATCTAAAGGAGGAAATAAAATCAAATAAATATAAATTATATATCTTCATTTGAATAATCTTCACCTATCCAATAATCTTAAAATTAAATATTCAAATAATGGTTATTATGTTATTTAATTAGGAGGAAATATTTAATATTAAAAAAAAAAAAAAAAAAATCCGAAATTAATTTTGAATTAGGAAAGTGTCTATTATATGAATATGATCTTACATACCTTTATTGGTTAGATAGATTATGTTGTGACGATTTTAAATCACAAATTAGATTCGTTTATTTGTATACCCCACACTTCAGCATTGTTACATGGACAAAAATAACTTTTATTAAAACGTAAATAAGTTGATTTCTACATGTTTTAATATATACAATATTTATAAGCTAATTAAGGTTACGGACAGCACCTAAAAAAAACTCTTGGGCATGTAAAACTTACAACCTAATTATAATTTTGAATGAATTGTTACAATATTCCTCTCACGCGGTGGGTACTAGAAAATAATTTGTTAAATTCATTACTCTAAATATAATTATTCTCAAAATGGTAAAATTATTACACGCGTTTTTGATTAAAAAATTCAATATAAGTGAGCTTGGTTCTAAAGGAATTTTCAGGTAATCTACATTTAATCATTTAACTACAGACAAAAAAAAAATAGAAAAAAATGAAGTTCTCTATTTTTATAATCTCATGTCTCGTTGTATTGGTTTTGTTTTCTCCAAATCCTACACAAAGTTGTGAAACCACTTGTCGAAATGGAATAAGTGATGCTTTCGCTCAAGCTTACACAAAAGAAATTACCAACTTATTTAAAGAATTTTATAATAACCTTAAAATTTCCTTATTCTATAAAGTGTCTGGAATTTCAAAAAGTACTCAAAATGTAACTTATGTTTCTTGCGTGAATATTACTAATGATACCATGAAATCTTTTGAAGCAAATCTAATCAACGTAGTTAGAAATGGAATTTTTAATGAAGAACCTAAATTCAAAGGTCAATGTCAAAATCCTCTTAGAGTTAAGCAACCACCTAAAGGTGTTAATTGGACTTTAAGTGATTGTCAAAATCAAGATTATATTTGTGGGAATCCTCCAGCGATTTGTCATTTTATGGAGTCTATAGTGAACCCAAGAAATATCAAGAATATTAATTTAGATTTCATTAAATTCTTTACAAAAAGCTCCAAATTTTTAAATAAAATTTCTACCCAAATTTCATCAAGAATAAAGGATAAAAATAAAGCAAAAGCTGTCATTAATAACTTTAATAATCGTCTTAATGATTTTCAAAAAAACGTTTTTAGTAAAAAATTTTGTACTAATAATGTTTGCGATAAATACAATCCAAATATTAAATTAATACTTTTATCCTATCCTTAATAATATTTATTAATAGAGAGGTCTTAGATTATTATATTTTTAAATTAATTTATTAATAGAGTGTCATCTGTTATTAGCTTAAATTATTATATTTTTAGATTAATATATTTTAGATTAATATAATTTCTCTCATTTTTTATTTTATTTTATTTTATTAATTTAATTTTAATAAAGTCTACAAATAAATTTTCGATATTCATGTGTGCTTGAATTCAAATGCCAATTCTGAAGAAAGAATAATTTTTTTTTTGAACACACTATAATAGGAACTTAATAAATTTTGATCAAATTTCTTTTACAAAAATCGATCATCAACTTATTAATAAAAAAAATTAATATAATATTTCGTTCACCATTATTTTCAATAATTAATTAACAAACGACGGCTTCATTGAGTTTACAAGATTAATTAGAACCGTTTGGGGAATATTTTGCCATTCACCCATCATAAATCTTTTAAATCTTTCCAAATCATTTAGATTTTTTGGCATCCGTTTCTCTACGTTACTCTTTAATGTAATAAAGTTTCAATTGTTGTTTTTTTTTTTTTCGTTGAAAAAGACATTTCGTGGTAAAACAAATATATTGGTTCCACACTGAACAAAAAATATATTTATTCTTTATTATTATTTATTCATAATTAAATTTTTTCAATACTCCTTTATCAGTATATTCTTTTAATATCTTATTACAATCTTGAAAAAATCCCAATTCACAAATATTCATTTTATTCATTTCTAAATCTAACTCTTTTCTTGAATTCCAATTTTCCAAAAATATATTTAAGATCTTTTCGGTAATTCTCCAATTTCCATTTAATTCTATTTTATTCAATGTTATGGGAGCGTGAGTAGAAAGTAAATCTAAAAATAGTTCTGTGTCTTTTTCTTTTGTTATATCTTCTTCTATAATATTCATAATATTATCTATATTGTCTGTATTGTCTATATTATCTATATAAACATTATTATTCTCATAATAAGTTACCACAATACTTTCTAATCCAGTACATTTCTTTAACATATCTTCAATCTCTGGTAATAATAATCTTGAATACCAAATTTTGACAAATTTTAAATTGTTACAGATACCACAATTATTTATTATGGATCTTAAATATGGTCTTAATTCATTAAATTCAATTGTAAACGAATCATTTATAAATATTTTCTTTAAAGATTTAGAATTTTGAGTTGAGTCAATAAGTGAAGTGTAATTGGAAAGAGAATTTTCATCATCATAAAGAATATTAAGAATTTCAAGTTGAGGAAAATTCAATAATATCTGATTATTATTATTAAAATAAATTTCTTGTTGTTGTTGTAAATCATCATCATCATCATTGACATTTAAATCAACTTCTAATACTTTTAATTCATTTAATGAATAAATTGCTTCACTCGAAATACAAACATTTCCCACAAATCTAATACATTTTATCATTTTGGCTTTCTCTTTAATCGCATTACTAAGATTTTCGAATACTCCATTCAAAAAACTTACAATCTTTAAATCAGTTAAACATTTTTGGGATTTAATTAATTGGGAAAGACCTGGATTATCGTTATCACATAAATCTATGGTAAGCACTCGTATAGTGTTAACGTATTCAGAAAGTGTGGTCAACAAAGAAGATGAAATATGTGATTTAATTTCAAGATGAGTAATGTGTAATGGGAAAATCCGTGGAGCAAATGAATAAAATAATTTATCTGATTTATGAAAGATATCGATATGATGATGATGGGAAGAAGAAGAAGGGGGAGGAGAAGGAAGTGGAATATCTAAAAGTTCAAGATAACTTAATGAACAAGTGTTACTAAGGAATAACTTATAGATTACTTGTTCGAGAATAAATTCTTTATAAGAATCTTCAATATCAAGAATTTCGCGTCGAATTCTATGAAGATCTTTTAATGAAAAATATTTACAATAACTTAAATAATTAAACATTGGAAATTTCTTATTTTTTTTTTGAAATTTTGAAATATCAATTCCATTATTTAATAAATAATTTTTAGAATCTTGAGGAATCATTGAGACAATGGTTCTAGTAATTAAGGGCCAAAATGTTAAATAAGTAGGTTTAGTTAAAGAATAATAACTCCAAGGGTTTTTCCATAGAATACGAATTACTATCTGACACCATAATTTATTTATTAATAGAAAATTATGAAGAGAATTTATATCCTCGGATAAATATTTAAAGATTTCTTCGAGAACATCGTAAGGTAATCTTGGATGCATTTTTTTTTTGTTTTAAAAAAAAAAACTAAAATTCTCGAATTTTATTTTGTTTAATTTGTTTAAATAATTTTTTTTTTTTTTGAAATTTTTTGAAATAATTTAAATATCTAATATTTTAATATTTCATGACTTTTAACGAACTTATATTAAAAAAGATTCATGCATACAATCATCGTCAAATCTATTATATATATATCAATAATTTTATGATGTATTCTCAAAACAATAATTGAATAAAAATAAAAAAAAATAAATAAGGCGTTATTAAAGAAAAATAATTAAATTTTCCTTTCCGTGATCTTTATGATCTTGGATGACAAACCTTTCACTTTTTATGCAACTCTTTCCCTTCATTTTTTATCATATATATGAAACTACTTTTCATTTTTATGCAGATTTAATTATGCATTTATTCCCCCAGTTATTCATAATAATGATTCTTTGTTTAAATCAAATGGTTAATACATGTTCAAATGATTTCCTAAACAATTATCCTTCAATGACAATGCAGGATTTTGTCATTGTTCCATTGTTCTTTGTGTCATAAATAGAATCACGTGAATCTCATTATCGATAGGTTTGTAATTGCTGATAACGCTTTGTTTTTTTTTTCTTTTTTAACTGTTAAGTTTACTTTATTAACTCCAGAACCTGGCGTTTTTTTTTTCGTCGTCAAGATTTTTTAGTTATAAGAATCTTTACATCATCATTATTATTATCAACGTTTACAAATGAGAATGGAATAATGTTGTTGTACATGTGTACATTTTGTGCATCCGTTATCGGTCTTTAATTCCGATTTTGAATTTAATCTTTTTTATGTTTTTTTTTTTTGAGTTCAAACCTTTTGAATTTGGTCTTTAAAATTTAATCATTGAATTTTAATCATTGAATTTAATCTTTAAAAATTAAAATTCATTATATTATTAAATAAAATGACATCAAATAAACATATAAGTAAAGCAAGTGTCGCTTCTTCAAACATCAAGTCAGCAGCAGTGGTAGCTGATGCGATAACACCTTTTGTCCCATTTATATCAGATATAACAAATATTGTTAATGAAATTATTTCAATTTATCAAACTGCCGAACATAACAAACGTATATGTGGTTCTTTATTATCACGTGCAACATCGGCTCAAACGGCAATAAATAATTTAAAAATTCGTAGACTTGAAAATGAAGATTTATTTAAATCCAAAGATTTTTATATCAATTTTCAAAAGTTGACGAAATTGATTGATAGAATTAAAAAATTTATTGGAGAAGTTTCACAAATTAAAGGATTAAGTAAATTTTTATCAGCCAAAACTATTGAAGGAGAATTTCAAGAATTAACAACGGAATTTGATGGATTAATGAGAGTAATGAATTTTACCATGGCAATACAAACTCAAATTCAAATGGATGAAGATAGAGAATTGGTTAAACGTGATATTTCTGAGATGAAAATGGTAAATCTCATTATGTGTATATATATATATATATATTATTCTCTTATTACTTTATTTATCTTTAATTAATTAATTACTTATCTTTTTATTTCTAGTATCTCAAAGAAATTGAAGGTGGAATTGTCGATGGGATGTCAGAAATAAATTCTAAATTAGAAGATATTACACAACTTAATCTCGCTTGGCAAAAAAATTTATTAAATGGAGATGAAGATATACTTAAATCAGCCACTATTAAATTAACAGAGTTACAAGAACCACCATTTCCTGTAAAACGAGGTGACAAAGTATATAAAAAAATACGTATAGGGGAAGAAGTATGTATTAAAGAAAAAATTCTTAAAGAAGATGAAAAGAAATATCTTAATGATATTATTAGTCAAGTAGCCATATTAAAGAAACTTAAAGAATCCACATATATTTTAAAATTTTATGGTATTGCGCAAGATGCTAATGCGATGTATATGGTAACAGAATGGTGTGAATTGGGAAATTTACAAGAATATTATCAACAATATAACTTAGAATGGGGTGAAAAAGCACAATTAGCGGTAGATATAGCAAGAGGATTAACATTTTTACATACAGTTTGTATTTTACATCATGACATTCGATCTGAGAATATTTTAATAACGGAATATAAACAAGCCAAAATTGCAAACTTTAATTTAAGTCGGGGAACAAATGATCCAACTAAAGATATTCGACCTACGATTGATACAGTTAGATGGATGGCACCGGAAAAATTAAACGATCATAAGAAAAATCAATATACTGCTAAATGTGAAATATATAGGTAGATTTTTTTTATACTTTTTCCACTAAATGCTAAATTATTTATTACTGTTAATTTAATTATTACTGTCTATTATTAATTATTAATTATTAATACTTATAATAATTATTTTTAAATTGTTATCATTATTAATTATTGATATTATTATATTTTTTTTATATATCTTTATTAGTTTTGGAATGCTCTTGTGGGAGATTGCTGAAGGAAGAATTCCTTTCGAAGATGAAAGAGACTTAATAGTAATTTGTGATATGATTGTAAAACAAATGATGCGTCCTTCTTTTAGTTCAGATGTACCTCCCGAATGGCAAAAAATTTCATATCAAGGTATTTAAAAGTAAATCTTTTATTACTTTTTATTACTTTATTACTTTTATTACTTTTATTAATTGTTATTATTATTATTATTATTATTATTATTATTATTCACTCTCATTTAATTAATATTTAATTTTTATAGCAATGCAAGATAATCCAAATTCACGACCAGCACTTAAAGATATGTTTATGACATTATATAGTCTTCATCAAAAATATCAACCACCAAGATCACCTCGACCTCCAACTTCAAATAATGAAGAACTTGAATTACCACCAGATGATGGTGATTTGGAAATAGGTGATTTTACTATTAATGTTCTTACTGTCAAAGATGCAATTAATGAACATAAAAAGAAGAATGGTGATAAAAAAAAAGTTTGGGAATCTTTTAAAATTCACGCTGAAGAATTTCATGATATGACAGCGAGGTAATAATAATGAATATTATTTGTAAATTATATTATTATTGTTATTATAAATAAATTAATAATCATATTATTATATTTATTATTATAAAAAGATATTGGATGGGATATTATCTTTATTATGATTTATGTCCAGCTGATAATCCCATTGAAAAAAATGTCAGATTAGAACAAGCGGCCTCATTATTTAAGGAAGCAGCCGATATAGGAATATCCGATGCCCAATTACGTTATGGACATTGTTTGTGGTCAGGTGAAGGAGTTAAACGTAATATAAAAGAATCTATGGAATATTTTCAAAAATCCGCAAATAATGGAAATGGTAATTCTACTGCTATGTATAATATTGGTAACATCTATTTTAATGGAATTGGATTTCCAAAAGATGAAGAAAAAGGAAAACGATTTTTAAGATTAGCCGCATTACACGGTCAACCAAAAGCTTTAGATATGTGTAGAAAGAAAGGAATTTCTTTGGCGGATTAAATGATTAATAATTATTATTAATAATTATTATTAATAATTGTAATTTAATTTTAATAATTATTCTAATTAATTTTTTTCTTATATATTATTATTTTATCTATATTTATTACTTTTATACATATGTATAATAATTAAAAATCATCTCTTTTATACAGTACCAATATTTTTATTATTTATTATTTTTACCACCCAAAATAAATAATTTAAAATTACGCAAACCTTAAATCCAAACTTAAATCAAAAAACTTAATTATTAATATAAGTAACGTAAAACAAAGAACTTCACAAAAACCTTAATTTCAGATTTGGGGAAATTTCATCTTTTAAAATGAATAAATACATATTATATATTTTCATTACTTATATTATATTATTTATATAATGTGATATAATTGATAAACTGTATTTTCAAGCTTGTGATAATAAAATTATCGGATTGTGATTTTATAAATTATTTTTTTTTATACAAAAAATAAAGTTTAATAATAATATAAAAGATAATATAAGCTTTTATTGACCAAAAAAAAAGAAATACCCATAATAAAATACATGTAAAAAAAAAAATAGAAAATAATATAATATAAAATGAAATGATTTTAATACATGAATGTTTTTAATGAAGAATAAAAATGTCCCATAAATATAATAGAAAAGTTGAATGACAAATGATAAATGAATTCAAAGATACAAATACAAAAAAAAAAAAAAAAATAACTTAATATTTTATAGAATTTATCTTTCCATATTTATCCAACGCACCATTTTTTTGATATTCTAAACAAATTTTTTCATAATTTCCCAAAATTTCACAATCATTCCAAAATATTTTAACTTTTTTAGAAATTCTTTGTCTACTTTTTATAAAATTTTCTAAAACCTGAACAGAAAATTTCCATCCATGAATAATAAATAATTCTTTTAAATTCCAAGGTTGTTTAATTGTAATTTTTCTAAATAATGAATTAAAATCAATCGGTGATGCTGTTTGTCGACAATTATCTATTGATGGATGAAGTTCTAATGTTTCAATTATTGAACATGAATTAAGTAATTTTCCTAATTCTATTGAATTATTTGTTCCAATTGGTCCACTAAAATATTTTAATTTAGGACAATTATTCGCAATTGATGTTATAAGATTATTTGATTTATCTGGATCACAAATTGTGCAACAATGAATTTTTATATAACTTAAACTTCTCCCAATATTTCCTATAAATTTACTAAAAATATCTAAATATAATGAATTCCGATTTTGATATAAAATCTTTTGAAGATTTTTTAATTTTATGTTCGATAAATCTATCCAATCTTGTAAACTATATAATCCACTATATAATAAATTTAATTCTATTAAATTTTTAAAATGAACAAGATCATAAAATGGAAAATGAATTTTTTGAATTTCTAAACAATTAATCGATCGTGATTTTTCCAAAATTGCTTTTCCTCCTTCAGTTTCATTCCAAAATTTAAATCCCAATGGTGAATTAGTTCTATTTGTAATAATTAAAACTTTTAAATTTTTTTGTACTCTAATTAAATTAATTAATTCTTCCGTACGATCATCATAAACTGATAAATCTAATCTTTCAATATAATTGGAAAATTGAGAAATTCGAGAAAATAATGTTTCCATCGTTGGATGTTCGGCAAAATACATAAATTCTTTTAAATGAGTTAAACATTTTCTCGATTCCGGAATATTTTCAAGTATATCAACCACTATTGCTCCAATTATATCCACATTTACTCTAAGCACATTAATACGAGGAGAAAGACAAAAAAATTGTTGTAATAATTCTTGTAAAACTAATTTAATTTGATCACCCGTGAATCCTTTTTTAGTCCAAGCATCAGAATAATCAATCCAAGATTGTAAAGCGATATAAAAATATCTTAAATCTAAATATCGTAAATAAGAAGCGTAAGGAAAAGTTGAATATTTCAAGTTGTTGATGGTAGGTGAAAGAATTTTTTCCATCTTAAATAAATTTAGTGATACTTTAGGTAAACCTGAAATATAAGTATTAATAATTATAAATCTTTTTTTTTTTTCATTTTTTCCCATTAAAATTTTTTCATCTAAAGTATTTTCCCACAAAATAGGTACAGCACATTGACTCCAAGATTTATTGACCAAGGCACAAGAATGTAATGATAAAAGATCATTATCTCCAAGAAAACCAAATATTTTCACTAGACAATCCGTGTATAGATGCGAAGCCATTTTTGGATCTAAAAATATATATATATGACTTAATACGTATGATTAAATGTATATTTAATTTGGGAATAAAATGTAAATTTGAAATTTACCAATTTAACCAATTACAAATCCAGTATAAATATTATCTTCAATGATGACTTTCTAAATTTATATTTTTTTTTTAAAAATATATATATATATATAAAATATAATAAAATTTAATAAAATTTAATAAATTTAATAAAATTTAATAACAAATGGTTTAAGAAAATATGAATTTTTTTTTTATCAAAGAGCAATAAATAATGACAACACAAACAATAACAGTAAATATCTCATTGCATTGTTGTAATAAAATTTGTAAATTGATAATCTAAAGTTTGATCATATCTTTGTAATTTGAACAATTTTAAAGTTAGAATAATAAAAATAGAATAAAATGAATAAATAAATAGAATAAATAGATTATTCTTTATAATAATAAATAAATATAATGAATATATAATTCAATGTAACAATGTAGTAAATGATGAAATAATTAAATGTTGTTACCAGTTACTTTGTCTTTAAAAATTATTATTATGTATTGAGAAATCTTTTATAACTGATTACGAAACGTATAATAACAATTCATCATAAAAAAAAAAGGTTTCTCTGATGAACAAAGAAATTCAATTTGCCGCCTTTTATATAAAATTTTAAAATTATTTGAGAACTAAGTTTGGAAAAGAGTAAAAAAAAGAATTACCCAAAAAAACGTGGCTTTCGAATTTTATACTTAATAATAATTATAATAATCACTGCCCAAAGTGGTTAAATGATATGCGTAATGCAGAGAAACAGGGAAATTTTTATTTTGGGCTAATCGTGTTCACGTGATATAAACTTACAAAGGTAAAAAGGGGTTATACTATATAAATGCATATATTATATTTAGGACATCACATTTTTAAAAATCATTTCTCCCTTTTTCTCTTTATTGTCACAATTCATTATAATCACAAGGTATGAATATGCTGAATTTTTATTTTGTTTCTCTTAACTTATCTTATTTTCATATTCATATTTATTTAAAGATATAGATATTATATAATATATACTAATTAATTCTAGGTAATGCTAATAAATAGTAAAAAAATAAAATTTAATTTAAGGAAAAATTTTCCTAACTTTCGTATTAATTCTAGATGGAGGAGGAAAATAAATGTACATAATCATTGTAATAATAAAGGTGATAGTAAAACCAACACATATCCATCCCCAAGTTTCACCAAATATTCCATAGACGGTTTTCACTCGTTTATTTATAGGTATTTGAAATGTAATTGTTATATCTTGTAATGTTTGAACCGCTGCATAAGGCATACCATATGAATTCCATACACCACTTATTCCAAGGTGATTACATCTAAAAAGTGTAAATCCATTTTCTATTGCTCTAATTTTGGTTACACGATGAGGAATATAATTTGCAAGCGTACCTAAAAACAAATATAATTTAATAATAAAAAATAAAAAAAAAAAATAAATAATATTATTAATAATCATCAATAATATTTAAATAATAATTAAGAAGATAAAATTTACTTGAAGTCGAGCTAGTATCCAACATAAAATTCACATTTTTAATTGAAGCTTGGTGAATTAATCTTGGAAAATCATAATCAAAACCTATTGCACCACTAATTATTCCAAAGTCAGGTGTCATTTCAGCCTGCAAAATACCTGAACCTGATATTATATTGTCGTCATTTGTAAACGGAAATAAATGAGTTTTAGCATAATTAATTAAAAGTTCACCATTTGATGAAAAAACTACTAATTTGCTATATCTTTTTTTTTCATCAGTTTTATCAAGATATGTGAATCCAATATAAACATTATATGAAAGAGAAATATTTACTAAAGATTGTGTAAGATCAACTAATTCTGTATGATCAACGGTTATTAATTGTTCAGACCATAAGATAAATTTTGTTCCAACAGAAGCTAAATCTCTAGTTTTTTCAATATAATGAGAAATAGTTTGATTTTCTGCTTTAAATACACATCCAACTTTGGTAAATTCAGGTTTTGCAAATGTTTCAATATTTTGTTGATAAAATGGAATATATGAAGTAGAAATTCGAAATGATCCATATCCAATCGTTATATATAGAACTAGAAGATAAATTAACATTGGATTTGATAATGGTCTTCGATTTTCTTTTCTAGCTTTGTTTATATTTAAAGATTCAAGATCTCTAGCTAATAATATCTTTTTATGAATCCATTTTTTATATATGTAAACTCCTACAGGTCCATGCCAAGATAGAATAAAATTAATTCCTCCTAAACCAGCAAAAGAAGCAAATTGCATTACTTCATCAAACCCAAAGAATATAAATCTAGATATCATATTATTAATACAATGTTAATACATTATTTTAATCATTATTAATATTTTATATTTTATATTTTATATTAATTTACTTACGCATAATTTGTTAAATCTCCAAAAAACGGAACAGAGATAAATATATTCCAGAGAGCTACATTATATATATAATATTACGAGATGTAATAAAAAAAAAAATTACAAGATCTAATAAATGAATTTTATTACCTGTCCAAGCACAAGGAAATACCATAAATTTTGCCCAACCGCGAAAAAACATTTGTGCAAATCTATCAAGTATCAAGGAAACAAGTGAAATACAATTCATCGATAATCCAAGAAGAATCGAATATCCAAATGTGCGAAGTGACCAATTTGAATTCCCTTTATTCCATATTCCCAAGAATGCTAAAGTTGTTCCTATACTATTAACAAAGTAAAATGGTATATAACCCCACCAACTTGAAAGATTTCTTGAATAGTATATAGCCACAGGAAACCATAAACAGGCAATAATTGATATTGATTGAAATCCCGGACCAAAAAATGTTAAAACTGTAAATAATGGAAGTAATAAATGTATTGATTGATATTTATTGGATCGTTTAATTTGAATTAATTTAAAGAAATTTCTCATTTTTAAAAAAATAAATTCTTTCATTTTTTTTTAAGTTACTTAAATAAGGGACAGGAAAGTGTTTAATATTTTATACGTTATTATAGAAATCTTTTACCTTTTTAGTTTTGTTATTCCGATAAATTTTTTGTTATTGTGCACAGACTAACTACGAGTCTTCTTTGGTTTCCTTTTTTAGTGCCTGTTTTAGTTAAAGAATTCATTATTATAAATAAATTACGAAAATCCTAATCTTAATTACATCATCCAACTTTTATAAATAACAAAGCGATCGCTTAAAATAATCTTCATTTACTATTACTAAATAATTAAACATTCTAAAAACAAAAGGAAGAAATGAAAGCTTTTGTTTGATAATATTACAGTCGAATTTTTTTTTTTTTTTCAAATCTTTGTGAGTGATTTTGACTGGCTTTACTAATTAATTGTTCAAAATTGTTCAAAAAAAAGAAGGAATATGTGCAAAATAAGATGGTTCAGAAATGAAAAATATTTACAAATCAGAATTCCGAATATTTGGTTGATTTATGTAATTATAAAATTAAATCGAAACAATATAATTAAATCGAAACAATATAATTAAATTGAAACAATATAATTAAATCGAAACAATATAATTAAATCGAAACAATATAATTAAAAAAAAAAAAATTAAAAAAAAATTTGAATCGTATTGTATTTATTTTATTAATTAAAATACATAATAGTGTTGTCAAAGTCGTTTACGCAAAGCATATACTAAAGATATTGCAATATGAAGTAAATAATATCCCATGTAGATGGTCTAGTCCTCTGAGAGATGAATATAAGTGGTCATTTTTCAATTGTTAAATTTATTTCATTATTAAGTATTGCACACATGTATTAAAACAACCATTTTGGTTAAAAAATAAAGTGATGTTCAATTAATAATGCACAACATTTATATGGTAAAGTGAAGTGAATATGGGAACTAAATTTTAAATAATGTTATATTATTATTATTTTATAATATAATACTATAACTAATCTTTTATTTATTATCTTTCCTCAAGAGCATATTTAATTAATTATCCAAATTATAAAGAAAATTTTATCACAAAAATTCAGAACGTTTTACTCTTTTATCTTAGAAACAAAATGTTATCGATTGACAAAAATATTAGGCATCGATCCAACACCTATCCAATGATCTTACCTTCCCTGGGGACCAGCATTAACGTGCATATGAAATTTTTATAAGTTCTTGGACCATGTTAGAGCGTGTATTTAGATAAAGTGTGCGTTATAAAGGATTCACTGTATTGGGTGCCTGATAAGTGATTTTTCTATCAAGATGTTTCTAATATCGTTCAAAAGCTTGAAATCAGAGCTTTACAATGATGATTTCTATCATTGATATCTGTTAAGCCAAAGTCATTAAGACTTGCAAATTTCACAAGCCAAAGCCCAGATTTGGGTTCAAGCCAAGCTCACGAGGCTCCAATCAACAAATATTATTTATGTTTATGTGGTAGTCAGCTCACGATATAATGCGGTCCTCAATCAATGAAATTGGTTGCTGAGTCAGAGCCAAGCCTAAGAAGTTTGGCTCAGCTCAGCTTGTAAGCTTAACAATGGATAAATAAAAAAAAATAGGAATTTCCTAATTATGATTAAAATGTCTATTTTTACTTATACTTAAATAAACTTACTATAAATCAACTCATACTTTCGCAAATCCATGTAAGCTTATCAAACTATACGAGAACACGCGGATGATCTTCAACTAATTACTTTACTAAATAAATTTTTAAGGAGGTAAGCTAAATAAATTGATAACCACTTTTTTTTTTTTGTAAGAAAGATCTGATCTAATAATTTGCTTATTCGTAAACAATTTAAAACAACCCAAAACTAGAAGGTATAAATTTATTAAATTATATATATTAAAATTATGTTTAAATTTTATATATTTAGATCAAAATATTTTAACATTTGATCATTTAGGTAGTTAATATGTTTGACTGAATGTTGAAAGATAAAACCAATTTCCACAAGCAATTTTAGTCCAGAAGTTAAAACCATGTATTAGTAATTAAATTCAAGTGAAAAAAGTTTCTGTTATATGGAGACACGTCTAACTTAATTTTATGAATTGTTAAAAAAATTCACTCAAATCAGGTGTTTCAATATCAATATTATTACACTTGTTTATTCGTGTAACTTTTAGGTTGTCCCCCAATTATATTATTTATCCCCTAGATATTAAGATATTAAGATATTATTGGATCAATTCATATTCTTAATTTAGAAGGTTTTGTTGTTGTTTTTTCATTTTCGTATCGTGTAATCCCATTGTGCATACAATATATTTTTATTGTTTGAAAAAACATCTAATGCAAATAGTTTTTTTTTTGTGTTATTCTTTTCTTCTAGAATTATTTATTGATATATATATATACGAAGATGTTATCGTTTCCTAGAGAATGTCTTGAAGAAGTTTTTCATCACTTAGAATATGATAAAGCTGCTTTATATAATTGTTTGTTGGTTAATAGATTTTGGTGTAGAAGCACAGTTTCTTCTTTATGGAAACGACCTTTTCAATTAGTTAAAAAACCTTCACCCGAATTAATAGAAATTTATATTTCTTTACTTGATAATCAAGTTAAAAATAAATTAATATTAGAAGGGGTATTAAACACTTCTTACTCTTCATCACCTAAAAGATTATTTGATTATCCAATTTTTTTAAGAGAATTTAGATTTGATGACCTTTACGATTTTGTTTCTGCTTGGTTAAAAGATAGTTGTTATCAAGGTAAAAATGAAATAAAGAAGGAAACAGTTGCGTTCGATGATCTTCGTATCACCAAAATATTAGTTAATGAACTTTGTAAATTAATTTTAAGCAAAATACCAGTCATTTATTCACTTTCACTTAATACCCAACGTCTTATTGGTTCAATTGATATAAGATTTTGGTCACATCATCCTAATTATATTCAATATACACCAACAAGTTTTGAAGAATTTCGTAATTCATATGGATTTGATGATTTATTACAATTACCTTCATACGCGGGAGCTAATTGTTTACCTTATTTACAAAGATTTGAATATGGAGGGGACGCGACGGATGGAAAGATTATGCAAGTATTATCAATGATTTGTAAAAATCTTAATACTTTAGAGATAAGTTTTTCATCATGGCAAAGAAAACATGCGGACCCTATGATGATGTTAACTTTATTACAAGCGCAACATTCATTAAAACGAATGATTCTTAGACGTGGAGGATCAAATCGTCTTCATATAATAATTGAAGGATTAAAAAGTCAAGCTAATTCTTTAAAATATTTAGAATTTAACGGAGCAGATTTTCGAGGATCAATCTCACTTTCAGCAATATCTTCTTGTGTTAATTTAGAGTCATTAATATTTGATAAATGTTTAGGATTATCAGATGAAATAATTGAACCTTTAGCAAATACTTCATTTCTTCGTTTGAAAAAATTCGTATTTAGAAAAAGTATTGGATTTCGAGATTTAAGAAATATGTTACAACAACCTCAATTACCAATAAGTAATGTTAATTCAACTATTTATTTTAATCCTTCTAATATTGGAAATAATTTCTACAATAATAATGTTAATAATAATAATAATAATAATAATAATAATAATAATAATAATAATAATAATAATAATAATAATAATGATAATAATAATAATAATAATAATAATCGTGGTAGAAATAATAATAAATTCAACAATTCTTCTAGAAATCGGAAATCAACAATTCATCCACTTGTTAGTATTATACAAAATACTTGTGGAAGTTTAGAAGATATAAGATTAGGTAGAAAAGTTTATATAAGACGACCAGCGAGTATAGTATCACAAGGTTTAGATGGACCACCTTCATTAGTTCTTTCAACATTATCAATATATTGTCCAAGATTGAAAGTACTTGAAACTCATATAAGTAGAGATACTTTACCTCATTTCTTATTATTATTAGAAACTAGTGTTCATTTAGAACAATTATATATTTCGATTGGTTCTGAATTAATCGTAGATGAAATATTTTGGAAAACTTTGGCTCAATCTTTACCATTAAAATTACGAAATTTGATGATTGTAATTGAAGGAACATTTTGGTTAATAATATTACATTGGTTATTAGGAAATTGTATTAATATACCATTAGAAACATTACAATTTCCTAGAAGTGTTTGTATTGATGATGAATATCTTTGCATTATTACTCAATATGCAAAAATTATGGGAACATTAAAAAGATTAGCGTTAGCAAAGAGATCGAAAGTATCTTCCGAAGGTTTAAGAAGAGCATTGGTTGTATTTCAGAATGTTACCAGAACAGGTGAATGGTTCGAAGATGATGATTGATTTTTTAAAAGATAAAGAAGTTTCTATTTTTTATAGTATAAATTTTATAGGGTATATTTCTTATTTATTCAATTAATTATATTTATTAGAATGTGATTTTTGCGAATTTATATTATTATTATATTTATTTATTTATTAAAAAAAAATATTATTTTATCAAAAAAAAAATAATGGGATCTTATTCGTTGGTTTTTTATTAGGAATTTTATTTTTATTTTTATTTTATTTTATTTTTTGTTGTACATTATAATAATACATTCTCTTTTTGGACGAAGAAAACGGAAAAATGCAACGATTAAAAAAATATTTCAAGGATAAAAAAACATGCATTTCTCATTAATTTGATTGAGAAGAAACTTTAACTATAATAAATATCGAGAAGAAAAAAAAAGTACAAATATTTCAAAAACAGCATTGGATATTTTTTATGAATGTTTGCCACAGAGATATAAGTTTAAAAAATATTTTAAATATTTTTTTTTCTTTTTTAAAACTTAAAAAATAAATAATATTTTCTCGCGTCGCAATTAATATTACCAGGAAGATTTGCAAGCAATTCAAGAGTGATTAGCAGTTGAATCAGAATCATTCTAGTGGAGGATGCCTTTACAAGGGTGAGTAAAACTCAAAACTATAGCACGCGCGTTCCTGATTTTATGTATCTATTTTTTTTTTATAATCCTTTATACGCCAAATTACGTTAATTAATTGTTAACTGCAGTCTGATAAAATTTTAGCTTGAATGCCAAGCTCTTTATTAATTTGTACGCAAAAGAATCGACCATGCGTTTTCCAAGATATTTCATTTATAATCATTTATATAATCATATATATATATATATATTTATTTATTTATTTCGTGACAAATTACACGACTAATTTATACATGTGAAGGGTTTTCACCAAACAAGTCAAGTTCAGAATTTCTTTGCTTCCTTTTGACAAACAATAATGCTTGAAATAATAAAAATACCAATCAGATTGAAGTCGATCGACCCGATCGACCGTGCTTCGTTTTTAATTTCCTGGGTACCAATTTTTTCACAACTTTTTTTAGTTTCTTCTTATTCTTGGTAAATACTTTAATAATTTTCTTAATTATTTTAACCATCGTTTAATTGTTTAATAACTAATTCTTTTTCTAAAAAAAAATCTTTATGTTCTTTTATTTATAAAAATATTGAAAATAGCTTAAGACTAATAGATCAAAATTTGAAAAAGTAAAAAACTTACATCCAGGAATAATATCAAATTCCAAGTTTTACGACAAATACAACATTGTTTGTTTATTGCCAAAGGGATTTAAATTTTACTGATGTATTATTTTGTCATATATTAAATGAATAATATAAATGAATAATATAAATGAATAATATAAATGAATAATATAAATGGATAATATAAATAGGTAATTTAAATAAATATAGTCAGAAAAAAGATATATTAAAAATAAATATATTTAGTATTGATAAGCAATTGATCGAACATTCCATTTGATTAAATAATGATTAAATAATGATTACTAAATGAATAAAGTAACATATTAAGATTTAGTTAAGGCACAACGTTTATAACATAAAGATCTGGTAAGTTTCACGGAAATGAAAAAATTAATATTTCGTTATTTTAATTTGTTTTCCTTTTAAGTATAAAATAAAAATAATATCATCGGGAAATTTCAGTTGTCATGTTACGTAATTTTTTTTTCTATTAGTCAAATTACAAAAATTTCTAGGTGTCTCGTCCATTGTTTATAGAAAGTAATAAAAAAGTAACAAAAAGTAATAAAAGTAATAAAAAGTAATAAAAAGTAATAAAAACGTTTATGGTATAAAGTTGATTTTTAAGAGAGAGAAGAAATACAAAGCAAAGTTTATTGGAGAAACGGTATGATCGACAAAGTCGGAATTCTATATTTATCATCATCATTAATGTAAATGTTAATATAATCACTGTTTGGTAAACAAATATGTTATGACTTACAATTATGTAAATTCATTATGTAAGGTTTTTTATAATACATTTTTATTTACTTCGGATTTATTTCAAGTGGTAAAATATTATAGATATTTCAAATAAGCAACATATATTATAAGGTTGTTAATTGGATTTGAGTTTTTGAGAAAATTTTTTATAAGTATGAAGCATTCTATTTAATTTTTCTGGTCGGTTTTTTGATCAGATTTGATTTTTTTTGACTTCATAAAAACATTCATTAAAGATTTTTAAACCTTTTATAAAACATTTAATTTATTTTTTACAAAATTATCGTAAATACTATTTAAATATATCCCTGAAATATAAACCGATATAACCCTGGTATAATAATAATAAACATGGGAAATAGTGTATCGTTGATTAAAAACTTAAAACGAAAAAAAAAATCTAAAAACGCGAAAAAATGCAAAAATCTTGATTTTGATAATGATTCACATACATGTGCTAAAAGTTATATGAGTAGTAATAGTGATTCTTCTACTAAAGTAGAAAAAGCAGAATCAAACCAGTATATATTAACAGATAAATTTGATGAATCTGAAAGAATAAAAAGAAAACATTTTGTTATAAAACATATATTTGAGAGAAATTTTTCCGCTCCCATTCATGATTTATTAACTAATGGATGTCAAGTTCTAGATATTGGGTAAGTTATCTCTCTCGTCTTATATATTTCTATTACATATTTTCTCTCTTGTATATCTCTCTTATGTATATCTTTTATAGTTGTGGTCCAGGAACTTGGATATTGGATACGGCCTCAGAATATACTCGATCTTCATTTATTGGCCTTGACAGATTTAATATGTTTCCATCAGAAATAAAACCACATAATACAGATTTCATTCTGGCGGATGCCCGAAATAATTTACCATTTCAATCAAATTTTTTTGATTATATTCATTTAGGTGATATGGGATTTTGTTTTACTGATTATGAATTTGATTGTATAGTGGTAATTATTTATTTTCTCTTTTAAATATATATATTTTTTATTTTTAATTTTAATTTATATTAATTTTTTATTATTTTTTTTTCGTATTTTTTTTTTATTGCATTTTTTTTTTATTTTTATCAATTTAAGATATCAGGTAACTACTAAATTTTATTTATATTTACGAAAATTATTAAATTGAAATTTATTAAAAGTCCATACTAATTTTATCATAAATCTTCTTTATGAATTTAGAATGTATACGTATTTTAAAACCAGGAGGATGGATTGAGTTTCAAGAAACTCATCGTTCGATGAATAACAAAGGTCCTTGTACAGAAAAGTTTACATCTATGGCATATAAACTTTTGGAATCAGTAGAATTGAAAACTACACATTATTCACAGAATGATTTGGTAATTATTTATTATTATTTTATGTTTATTTATTTATTTATTATTTCCAATTATTTTTTCTAATTATTTATTCTTAATTATTTAGAAAAAAAATTCAAACATAACGAATATTAATGAAAATACCAAACAAATACCGCTGGGTGGCTGGGGAGGAAAACTTGGTGAAGAATATCACGAAGCTATGTTTATTGCCTTTTTTTCTTTCGCTGAACATATTGCTAAAATGTTCGATTGTCCAGTGAAAGAAATAAATGAATTGATTAATAATATGCATCCGGAAATGTCGGAATATAAATCTTCTTATGATATCATTCGAACTTTTGGACAAAAGAAATATTCTGAAAATGATTAATTCATTTTATTTTATTCATTTATTATGTTTATTTTATATACAATATTTATTTACAATGTTTATTTTATATACAGTACAATGTTTATTTTTTTGGGGGGGGAAATTTGATATTTCTATTTGTATTTATATATTCATTTTATTTTATATTGATTTTTTTTTTGTATTAGTTATATTTAATTTCCTTCTTCTTTTTATAATTTTAAGTTAGTAGTCTTAAATAATATATATATAGCATATACATAGACTTATTCTCTAATCTTTCTTATAATTCTTTTTGGGCATTAGTTTCACAAAAAGAATAATAAATGTACAATATTATAAAAAAATTCTTATATAAAATTTGATATTTATTAAAAAATTATAAAAATGCGATCAATATTCTATTGTTAGTGTATAAGTAGAATCTAAACGCGTGAATTAATATTTTATGTTTTATGGTTGAATTAAGGTATTTTGAAGGCGTGATAACGGAAATTTGAATATATTTTCTATTGACATGTATAGTATGTGCACACGATAACTATAAATTGGTAAAAATTATATTACTTTTTGCCTTTTGTAGGTAGAAATATTTACTATCTTATAAATCCTGTATTAGGATTTGTAACTCCATTATCTATGTAATAAAGTTTTATTTTCTCTTTTAAATATTTAAATTTATGCACAATTAATTCCTACATAAATCATTCCACATATTTATTTTCATGTATTCATGTATCGCAAGTATTATAAAGTACGCCTACAATTAAACCTATATACAATCCTTACCAACCTCACATTTCTCAAGGATCATATTAAGATCCCAGAGGGAGGCTCAGCACTGACACGAACATATAAATCCGCAATTTCGCAATATTTGTCAAAAAAAATTTATAGATTTATAATCTTCAGGTGTCAATAATCATACTTGTGAGTTATTCCATCGTAATTAATTACATAATTGGGAATTATTACGTAACGTAATCTGCAGATTACGTAACGAATCGTAAACTTGTGAATTGCGGAACAATTCATAATTCATTAAAGTTGCATCACATTTGATCAACCGTTAGGTCTGGATGCGTCTATTTGTCGCTTAGTTAAGCGAGATTTTTTATTTTTTATGCTATGTCAGAAAATTTTTATATAATAAGAGTTCTAACCGGTTTTTTTAAATAGATTTTTTTTTTTTTGATTTCGTAAATACTATTTAAATATAAATATTATAAACATGGAAAATAATCTCTAAAAATGGAAAAAAACGAAACTTTGGATTCAAAATCAAAATAATCGATATAGATGCAAATCAAAAGAAATTAGA